ACGGACTTCAAGTAATTTATATTGAGCTACCTTCTCTTTTACACCCGTCTTAGCAGACCCCATCCATTTCAGCAGAGTTTGTCCTTCCTTTATGGAATTCCTGGGCCTAATTAGCAGGAAGCTGAAAATCATCAACAGAACCAAGATGTTTAATTGTAATTAAAGCATATATGAAGAGCAGAGCCCAGTTTTTCTTTTACATAATGTAAATAAGATGATTCAGCTGAAGTCAACAGAATTATGCTCTTACCTGTGAATGCTACTGTGACACTTCCATGTCTTCTCTACCTTCCCTATGGTCTTTCAGCACATAATGAGAGGGCTGGATCACCTCTCCCATGGAGACAGGCTGAGAAAGCCGGGCTTGTTCAGCCAGAAGACTCCAGGTAGACCTTAAAGCAGCTTCCAGCAAGAAACCTGGACAGGGGCTTTTGACAAGGACATGTAGTGATAGGACAACGGGGGTGGCTTTAAACTGCAAGAGGGGAGACTGAGATGAGCTCTCAGGCAGAAGTTCTTCCCTGGCACAGGGTGCCCAGAGAAGCTGTGGCTGCCCATCCCTGGCAGTGTTCAAGGCCAGGTTGGACACAGGGGCTTGGAGCAACCTGCTCTAGTGGAAGGTGTCCCTGCCCGTGGCGGGGGCTGGAACTGGATGAGCTTTAAGGTCCCAAAACATTCTGTGGTTCTGTGATTCTATGATATGTGCCATCTATCAACATGGAATATAATTTTATGTTTTGCCCTGTGTTCCTAAATCTCTGTTCCACACCTCACCTCAGCAAGCCTGTACTTCCCTGCCCTGATGAAGCTTGGCTTCAGAAATGGTGTTTGTTGCTGAGGAAGTTCTTGACAGTTATCATTTAGTGGTGGCAACTTTGTTTTGCAGCTGCTGGAAAAAAAGATGGCTGCAAATCAGAAGGGAGAGAGGAAAAGGTGTATTAGTTATGAAAGCCAAACTGTGGTCACTGTACAGCAACCAGCTGGCTGTGATAAACTGCTCTGGTGACTGTTTATCCTCCCCTCTAGCTACTGTATTTCTGGTGCAGAAATGCGTGCACAGCTTGCATCATGTAAGCACAGTAAGTCTTACACTTTTATGACTTACTGGAAATGCTCAAAGTAATGGTGTGGTAAAGTTCAAGCAACACTTTGTAGGAGTTGTTTATTGGAATTGCTTTGCACATGCAATACAGGCATGTATTTGCTCTAAATGTTTGCTCTCAGGATCTCATTGGGATTGCTGGACATGGGACATCCAAGGTGAGGTTGTTGCATATAAGCAGTAACAGCCAATCTAAGAAGATTATTAGATATCTGTGTATAGCAGATATACAAGCCATTCTCAAAATCTTTCTGGAGAGCATTTCTGATTGCAAAAGAGGACAGATAACCAGTCTAAAGCAACCTGGACTTATGGTAGCCATATCTAACCATGTCTACAGGCTTCCCTTCTACTGCAAGGCCTTCATACCCCCACAGGCAGCAAATTCCCCAAAATCTTGAGAAATATCCTGACATATGCTCACATGGAGAGCAGCTGCCAGGCAGGAGTCCTCAGTGCATCACCATTCTCAGCTCTACAGTCAACAGCGCTCAACCCATTGTGTGTGGTGGGGGCTGTTGAGAGATGGCATTGCCTCTGGTCAAGATCTGCTGCGTGCTCAACAACATGCTGGGCATGGGCCAAGGAGAGAGCAGTGAGGCAGGTCAGACTGGTTTGTTTCACCCACGCAGCACACCGGGATGAAGGAATTCTTTGGTAGGATTGTGTGCTACACAGGCCTGTTAGGGAGGTTTGAAGGAAGTCTGTTTTGTCTTCTAGATGCTTCCTAACCAGAAAGTGCATAATGGTGATGGGTTATTTTGAGGCTTACGGCTCTGATAGGTGGTCTCTAGCAAAGTTATATGCTCAGTTTAAGACATTACTACTCTTAAGTGTCTGCTTTACCCTGCTGCTAGGTATTACCACACTCTTATGGTGGAGACTCCAAGTGACAGGCTGGCATATTAAAAATTACCTGCTTTCACTGTTGTGCTCTACTAGAGTGATTGTGACCTCAGGCAGTTGGAAGAAACAACATCTTAAAACACAGCAGCTAAATCTGCCAGAGCTTGTTGTTCAGAGCTTTTTGTTCTTAACCATGAGTGGAAAGAGTTCTTGCCTGTACCGGTGGGACTGAGAACAACCATTCCTGCCCTCATGGCCACTGCAGGTCCTCTGGCACCCCACAGGTCCACTGCTGGTCCATATGGAAGACCACTGTCATAGCTGTTACAACTGAAGAGGGCAAGGAATATGCATAAAGAAACTGCAAAGTCAGTGATATTGGATTAAGCAAAAAGTGAGGACTGTTCTTTGGAAGGTGAATTACTAAAGAAAAAATTCTCATGGAATATTTAGTTTGTGTCATCCTGAAAGTGGTCTGTGATCCCCCCATGCAGTTCTCGGGGTTTAGTGGCTGTTTTGTTTCACTAAATCTGTAGACATAGAAAATAAGTTGAAATCTTCTTTTATATGAGGAATAAACTGATAGGACAAAGATGAGGCTTTTATCCCAATTTCAGTAGCAAATTGTGTTGATATTTTTCCCTTTATATGACCATCTGTTTCTGGAATGGAAGAAGACTGGAAGAAGAATGGGACCTCTTCCTTCACTCAGCTGAGAATGTCCTGTGGAATTTTGCTGATCAGTTTACAACCTGATCAGCCATAAGACACAAGCCTGTAGGAAATCAAACTTGAGTAGCTCAAATGTTCACGTGAATGCCTACCCAGGAGTCAATTTGTGTTCAGTAATAGACTGAGCCAAGATGAAGCCAAGACTCAGTTACAGGTGCTGGCGGTGTGCCCTGCCACCTCCCACAGGATCCTCTTCCTGCAGCAGGAATGGCTCAATGCTGCAGTAATCAGCACCGGAGTTTCTGCATTTCACAGGCGGGCACTTCGACACAAGCCAACATCAGTTTCTGTTCAGCCTTAAGCCACGGTGTTCCTGTCATGGGAGGCATCCTGCAAGAGGGATTGGTGTACATAGCTGGGGTAGGTGAGCTCTCTGTTGGCTGCAGCTTAATCCAGTGTGGGATATACATGAACACCTTCAACGTTACGTTGAGAGAGAATTCCTAAATTATCAGAAAGATCAGGACACCTTAATGGAAAATTGAGGTGGTTTAGGACACGTATGGTAGTAGAAGCATGCCAAGAGGAATGGTGATCCAGAGCAGCCCTAAGGAGGACTTGGGGGTCTTGGTGGATGAGAAACTGAACATGAGCTGCTTCAGTGTGCGCTTGAGCCCAGAAACCCCCCATGTGCTGGGCTGCATCAACAGGAGCGTGAGCTGCAGGTTGGGAGAGGTGATCCTGCCCCTCTGCTCTGCTCTCATTAGACACCACTTGCAGCACCGTGTGCAGTTCTGGTGTCCTCAACATCAGAAGGATATGGAAATGTTGGAACAAGTCCAGAGGAGGCCACGAGGATGATTAGGGGACTGGAGCACCTCCTGTATGGAGACAGGCTGAGAACATTGGGGCTGTTCAGCCTGGAGAAGAGAAGCTGCGTGGAGACCTCAGAGCAGCTTCCAGTGTCTTGAAGGGGGGCTACAAGGATGCTGGAGAAGGACTCTTCATTAGGGACTATAGTGATAGGACAAGGGGTGATGGGTTCACACTGAAACAGGGGAAGTTCAGGTTAGATCTAAGGCAGAAACTCTTCCCTGTGAGGGTGCTGAGGTGCTGGCACAGGGTGCCCAGAGAAGCTGTGGCTGCCCCATCCCTGGCAGTGTTCAAGGCCAGGTTGGACACAGGGGCTTGGAGGAACCTGCTCTAGTGGAAGGTGTCCTTGCCAATGGCAGGGGGTTGGAACTGGATGATCTTAAAGTCCTTTCCAACCCAAACCGTTATATGATTCTGTGATCATGCTTTCTAGTTAGAAAACTGTTTACCATGACCACATTTAATTTTGCCAACAGCTCAAAACCATAAAATGAGAAACAATCGGACAAAACTCACAGCACTTCATTTAGCACCAGCGAACATCCGCATTACCTGTTCTCCGCATGACGGGTGCTACCCTCTGCTCCGCAGCGCTGCCGAGGAGCGCACGAACGGCTCCCCGGGGCACGGCCGGCCGCCTCAGCGCACTTCTCGTCACACACTGCAGACAATGGGCCCCCTGTACAGGAGAACGCTGCCGGATGGTGCCGTTCCGCGCCGCAAGCGCTTAGCCCCGGCCGTGGTGGACCCGCCGCGCTGAGGGGCGGCGGGAACTGCTGTGGAGAGCGAGCGGGCGGGGCAGCGGCAGCGAGCGGAGCCCGGCGGCAGGTGGCGGCGGCGGCTCGGCCCCTTTAAGGCGACGCCCGCCGTAACCCGATCGCCGCAGTCGGAGCATCCTGCGCCCGGGGAAGGGCTGTACCGTGCCCGCCGCCGCGGGGAGGCATGGCGGAGGCGGCGCTGCGGAGCCGGTAGCCCCGCTCCCAGGTGAGGCTGGCGGCCAGGGGGCCGCTGAGGGCCCAGGGCGGTGCAGCCCCTTCTCTGTCTCCTTCCCTCAGCGAGGGGCCGCCCCCGGCGCGGCGCCGCCCCCCGCGGTCCGTTGGCCACAGCCCGGTCTGACCGCACGAAGCGCAGCGGCCGCGGTGGGTCCGAGCGCTGTCTGCTGCCGCCTGGCAGCCGCCGGGGCTGACGGGGGAAGCTCGGTAATGTCCGCTGCGGGGGAGCGCTGCGCTTCTCGGGAGCCGGCCTGGGGAGGGTACCCCCGCGGCTCGCTGCCCCCTCAGGGGTTGAGGGGGTGATTTCTCCTTCTCCCTGTTGCGTTCCGACTGCAAACTTCTTGCGGGGTTGAGGAGATGGATGTAGGTAAATGCCAGCGCAGCGCACAGCTCTGCCTGTTTACCCGGTCCGTGTTAAAAGCGTGCCTAACCCGCTGGTTGCTTTGGCGTTTTAAGAGCAGGAGAAGTGGAGTTTGGGGTGTGGGGAGCCTTGGCTAGAAACGGGAACGGGTTAAGCTGTGAATAGCTTGGGTTTTGCTGCGTTTCTCCTTAACGCTGCTTACTGAGCTAAGACATTGAATGCAGTATGTCTGATCTGTTCGGAGCAATAGAAGCACAGCAAAACTCAGGCACTGCAGATGTTTTATTACTAGGCTTATTATAAACTGTGCAAACAGTCAGTGGTCCCACGCATTTCCCTGCAGATTAGTGTGGCGAGTTTCACAGGGTTTGGATTTGGCTCTCAGTTTTAAACCTATCAGGAGAGCATAGGGCTGGATGGGATGCCTTGGTATCACTGGCAGCTTTACAGTGTAATCTTGTTTGGACGTTGATCCAACTCATCTTGAAATCCAGCCTTGAAAGGAGAAAAGGCTGCAGGCCTCATGCCATCTTCTGCACCTCCCTACTATGTTGTGTGGCTGTGCAGCTGCAGTTCTTGTTTTTATGATGTGAAAATTGATGTGGAAGCAGTGGAATGAGGACATAACTGCTAAATGCCACTGATGGTACAATGCTAGGTAACTCTTCTGCTCCTTTGTCCTCTTTCAGTAAGTTCTGACTTGTTTCTATTGGAATTTCATGATGGTTTCATATTGGGGGTGAATGAATGTTGGGACTTGATATTGTTGGGCTTTTTCTTCTAAATTTCAAGTAGAAATGGAATTGTAGGAAGACCACAGCATGTTGATAGCTGAATGTATTTCCAGCGCTTACTCTGATTGAAAGCTGTGTTAGTAGCTTGTTCAGAATTACTGGGGTCAATAGAATAACGTGGTACTGCACTAGACGCGTGTAAGCAATACCTTGCTGAAAATTGTTAAAGTATTCACTGATACTTATTTACCTAAAGGCTACATTGAAAAGCTGCAGGAGTGAAGTTCCCATCACTTGTAATCACAGTTCAGCTGCATGGTTGAGACAGTGATTTAGGGTAAGCCAGGAAAAGGCCACTGCTAACAAACTAATGGTGAAGAACCAACCTGGGCATAGTACTTTCTTCCCGGATTACAGTGTACTTATGCTACACCTCCCTCCCCACCCAGCCTTCCACTAGCTCAAAAACCGTATCAGCAGACTGAATGGTAATCAATGATCATACAGTTTGGGCAATAGAGTATCCGCTCATATCTAATCCATGAAGTTCTGTATCTTGATCAGACTTTGCAGGACAGCCGTAAGAAGATGGAGGGGTAGAAAAACAGCGTAGTTGAAGCTGCTTTTGGCATGCTAACTTTGGCCGCAAAGAAATCATGTAATCAGAAATTTATTATGTTTCTTTTAAGTGATAAGCTTTTGTTCACCAACAGGAATGATTTTTCTTTGAAATAAAATCTGGTAAACAACAGTTAATTTTCATGTTAAACATGATATAGTTGAAAATGAGATAATGAGAAAGCATTTACAGCTGAGCTGTTCTTCCATCTCACTTGAAGTAGTGTGTTTACACCTGATCCTTGTATTGAATGAAAACACAGCACTCTAAATTTGCCTAGGTAAAGCATGACATCCTTGGACTTGGTATGTAATGTATTTAAGCGTCATCCTGATAAACATGTATGAAATCACCTTCTGAAATCAGTCTTGCAAAAGTGCTTATGAGTATCTGTGAGACCAGCAACAGAGGCCACGTGACTAGTTTCTTCTCTGCTACCATCATACCTTTCTCCTCTGTGGGCATCACAGTTCTGTACTTGCTGCTGAGACTTCTGAGAGGTACAGGAGTATGATACTTCTGGAAGACAGATCAAGCAATGTCCACACAAGTGCTTTTCCTTAAAATGAATTCCCTGTACAGGCTCCCGAGTAAAAAGATGAGGTTTTCTAATGCATTTCTTGCAAGGGTGGTTGGGTGGTTTTCTGTTTAATTCCATAATCTGCTGTACTAAAATGAAAACCTGTCACACCCTGACACATTACTTATCTAATAAAATCTTCAGGTACTAAGGAGACAAAACAAAACATAGGGCTCTTTTGTCCAAGAGATTAAGTCAGTGGCTTTGAAGCTCAGAGGTACCAGTATAGTCACTGCAGGTGAATAGAATGGGTAGCATCATGAGAATTGCTGTGTTCTAGTCAAAAGGATGAAGCAGGTGTGGTTGATGTTTTGCTGTGTTTCTGAAGAGAACTGTCTTCCACATTTGTTTTGGTTTCCTCCTTTAGGAATGAAACCAGCTGGGTTTTTTTTTCCTTTCACAGTCCAAGAGAGGACTTGCTTACTACACATGAGATGATGTAACAATGAAGTGTTGTCCCTAGGAGCAGATTCTGGAATGGACACCCCACAGTGTTTTATCAGTAGGTTTAAACTGGGAGATTAAGAGTTTTAATTAATTGTTTTATTCCTTCAGGTAGAAAAGTTGTAGAAAATCAACTTTAACACCCATTGTCTCCAGTACTTTAGACTGTGTCAAAAAGGGCATCACATTTGAGTTGTATTTTGTATCTTCTTGATCAGTGGAGGCAAATGGAAAAGTATGCAGAGAAAAGTAAAAAGTACTTGAGAGAACAGTGAATGTATAGTATACATTCAGTATGGTGTTTGAAATTGTCTTGGTTTTGGCTGGGATAGAGTTGGCTGGGCTTAAACCATGACAGACTGGAAGTTTTAATAGGCTAGCATTAAAGAGTGTGCTATAGGATGTATGCTGCTGAACTAGAACAGGCCATCAGATAAACAACTGGAATGAGCGCAAGTTTGTTGCAATGCATTGCAGCATGTATACATTAAACTTTGTGTTTGGAGTAAGTAAAATGCACTTGGGAACTGAATCTTGTGATCCCACCCTGCTTACGGCCCTTCAGTCTATGATGCATAGCTGTCCCAGATCATGCCAGCTGGGTGCCTTTTGGGTTATACTGAGCAGGAATAGCACATTAAATACAGTCTAACCACTGCAGAGTCCTTAGAACAGGATTAAAGCTGGTCTGAAGCAAACACTTGAAATCCCTGATCTGGATGCAGGTTTCACTCAGCAAATCTGCTCTTATTTGCCCTGCATTCTGCTTATGTAGCTGTAGCTTTTACTGTGGGTACCAGTCAGAGTCGGGTAATTCACTTTCTGGTTTTACTCTTCAGTTTTGGGGGGAGAAAAGAAAGAGGAGGAGGGGAAGAAAAGTTTGAGATCAATGAACCTTCTGCTTCTAGATCTTTGAAGACAAAACTACGTTGTTCCCTGGCCTGTGTGTAGTACACATTTCATTAAAGTTCTAAGTTTAAATGGAACCTGCGTTTCAATATACTCACCATTTACACCAACAAGTGAGAATACTGTAATTAATGCTTTGAAAAGTTATTATTCCAAGTGGTGGGCTTCTCTTTCTGCTCTGCCCTCCCCAGCCTAAAGTTTCTTTCTATCTGCAATGCAGATATAACTTCAAAACTCTAAGGCATGTTCCCTCAGTCTCTAATGCATGGGAACTGTAAGTGCATTGTGTAATTGTATCAGTTTTTGCTGACCATTAGGTTGTTGTAGTACCATCAAATCATGCCAGCATAAGTCTTCATGTTATTTTTAGGTATTTTCTTTGGTATAACTACTACAAGTGACAGCATAAGAGCTATTAAAATAATTATTTAAGTATTTTAAATGAAGCCATTTGCCTTTTTCCCCCTTTTCTGTTCAGCTTCATACAAATTGACTTTTTATGAGCTTGTAATCTTTGTCAGTCTGGGAATATAAAACACTCCACGACACCATCCAACTACATATATATGTCAGGGCTAGGCTGGGCAGAGTCTTGGGTGATGTGGTCAAGGGTGAGGCATCCCTGCCCATGGCAGGGGGGTGGAACTGGATGATCTTAAGGTCCTTTCCAGCCCAAACCAGCCTGGGATTTTATGATTTTATGGCAGAAATTTGTGGCTTGTGTGTTGCAAAATGTTGGTGACTTGGGAGGAATGACTGAAGTATTTAGAGGCTTGACATTTACTTTTGGAGTTGATTGGCTATTGTTTTAGACCTCATGGAAGGTCTAAACACCCACCACCTGAGAAGTGTGTTACCTCTGATCATGGGAAACTTCTTGGTGTGCTCTAAAATAGTGTGAAGTTCAGACTTTCACATGAAGAAAAAAGAAGTTCAAATGCAATAGCCTATGTGCTGATCTGTGAACAGAGTGCAAATTGAGAACTGCTGTCTCCCTAAAGTGTACCAACATAAAGCTGCAGTAAGGCTGTTGCTTCCTGAGGCTGACCTGAGAATCTCTCTACTACAGCAGTTACCCAAATTCATTGTTGCCTTTAACACCCTATTGGCAGCAGTCAGTCTGGTTAAGAACAAGATTAGTTTTAACTCTGGAGCATCTTGGGACAGGAGTGGAAGCTTTTGAGCTAGTGGTTGCACTGGTCAGTGGTTCTCCTGCCCTTTCTGTGTAGATAAAATGCACACAACTATAAGCAATGAAAATGTGTAGTATGTGTAAGTTTGGGGATACCTTAAACTACTAAGGCTTAAGGGGAAATGTTGAGCAAGATGAAACTTTTAGTGAGCAGTATTTCTGTTGAGAAGTTAGCTGTCAAAACCACTTTCTGTGGCTGCTTAAAATAGTTCAGTGCAGAATGGACTTAAATGGCTAGGTTGGACACGGCTTTGGGCAACATGGCCTAGGGTGAGGTGTCCCTGCCTGTGGTAGGGGGGTTGGAACTGGATGATCTTAAGGTCCTTTCCAACCCAAACCAGTCTGTCATTCTAAATTGCCGCCTTCTTCTCTTCACAGGCTGAAGAAAAATGGCTTCCTTCAGCAACCTGATTATTGGCATTATTGTTGCCAGTTTTACTGTATTTCAGTTCCTGTTCCATGTTTTAAGTTCTTGGGTGTCAACACGAATAACACCTGGTTTTAACAATCTCAGCCAGAAAAGGAAGATCGAATGGAATTCAAGGTAAGAGTGTTCAAAACAAAATCCAGCTAATGACCTGCCTGGAATTGTCAACATCTGAATCCCTATGTGTGTTTAACCCTGTGATTCGGGGTGCTTTCCTGCCTTTTTTAGCCATAAAGGAAATATAGTAAAATGAGTTTTATTTGTAATATATTTGAAAGGGTATGTAGTGGTGGTTGGAAAGAACCTTATGATCATCTAGTTCCAACCCTAACCATTCTGTGATTCTGTATAGTATACAAGCTTCATTGGATGAAATGAATTGATAGAGTATAACTTTATGCTTGAGTAGCCTATTGTAACTCTAAAATGTTTTGCAGGTTTTTCTCCAGTTTGAAGCTCAAAACTGTGCTATGTGATTGTTGCTGCACTCAAAATGCATTTGTTGCAGCGCTGTTCCTCCTCAGTGCTATTTAAAGGCAGCATCAGGTGGATGCTTCTAAAGTTGTTTCCATTGTGCTAGGCAGCATTAGCAACTCAAATAGTCTTGCCTTTCCATTTGGCAAATGTCCACCTGCAGTGTTCTTAAAGGCACCACCTTAATTTCAGTTTGATCTATGACTACCTATCTGCCAGAACAACACTGTAGGATGCCAGTTCATATCAGTGCAGGTTAGGTTTATGTTACAACTGACAATGGAGGCAGACAGGGAAGCTAAACTAAACTGTTATCATGCTGGAGCTGAACTTTTGTCTCTAAGCCACATCAAGTGACCATAGAATTACATAATAGGCTTTCTGAGAACTTATTCCATGCCTCATAGCTGTTGTAACAGCTTTGCATAATAACATGTGAATTGTCTTACATATAGCAGGTTTGCTGGAAATAATCTGCTCTGTAATCTCTGGGCTATTTTGTAGTGAGCTGTTCAAGTTGATACAGCACCTTTTTTTACTTCTTTCCAAGTTTTTTCTTAGGGTTGATAGCAGGATGTAGATGTTAGCACATAAATGAGTTGCGGTCCAGTGCTGCATCCAGTTCTGGAGTTAGAAGGCATGACACACAACGTATCATTCATCAGCAGCTTGTGGATGTTACACCTGAGGAAAGTGAAAGAAAGGCTAATGTTGGTGACCCGGGGTCACCAACAGGCTAACTGTGCTTGCCTTTCTACGTAAGACTGACCCTTAACTCTGCTAACCAATGTTCTGTCAAACTGCCTCAACACTGCAGTGTTTCACCAAAACAAAGAGGCATCCCAAGGGGTATCTTACAAATTCAGCGGATGTTGATGGCCGTATATGCATTCTGCAGACAGCTGTGCAGGTAGAGAAAGTTACTATCTCCCAGTAAAGTGAGTTGGGTTAGCTTAAATGATTTAAAAGCAGATGGTTGTTATTTTGTCCTATATTGAACTGGTGTAGGGAGCACTCACACAAATGGTTCTGTTGGCAGGCCTGAAGGAAACTGCCAACAGAACTGACACAGAGGATGGTTATGCATTTTTATCAGCTCAGCTGCCTGAAATGAGCCACAGCATTGAAATGCATTGTTACAGTTTGGAGGGTTTTGTAATCAAACATTGGAACTGCAGCTCTGGACCGTGTTTTCTATGCTGCCAATTTGTTCATTCTGACCTTCCAAGAATTAAGAACCAATAATGTAACTGCTTCTGGAATATTAAGTATGCAGATGCTCAAATTGAGTAAAAAATGTACTTTGACACAAATGTAATAGAACTCTTTATTTTATTGTGCATAAATTCCTGTCACTTATTCTACTAATACATGATTGTACTGCTATTAAGCAGTTGGTAAGTATGTGTAGCTTCAGTAACAAAGGAATAAGTATGCAACTTACCAGTGCAATTTGTTTCTTTGCAGTTTAATGAGGAGTTAAAGGATACAAGCTTTGTCAGATTCTCAAAGAACTGTGTGGAGCTTGACAGACTGACCTAGATTCCATATTAAAATGAAGTGTTGCACTATTTCCCTCCTTCTGCCCCTTCTTCTATAGCAACTTCGAAGTCCAGAGTTGGAGGCAATCTGCTTCTTTCTTCCTTTTGATTTTTTTTTTATCCTCTCCCCCTCCATGTGCTGTGCTTGTGTATAGCTTGTATTCCAAACACTAAGGTTTGGACAAAGAGCCGCTCCTGAGACAAATTGCAACTGATCTATATATTCTAAGATAAATTTTACTTCTTTCACCATTATCTTCTCCTCATGTTCAAAACCACCAGGCATTTCTCAAATGCTAATACTATGTGCCATGCTTTGTTTTAAAGACAAAGCAAAGTTCCTAGCTCTCTGCTAACTCTGTGTTGCAAGAGCAGATGTCTTAATCCTGATAACTTAAATTTTCTCTGTTTATTAAATAGATAAAAAGATTTAACCCAAAAGCAGCCTGTGGCTAGTGGTTAGTAAATGTTCTCCTCCAGCTTGTTACATTTGACTATTCAGCTTGCATAAATCTGCATTAATTTTTTTGGAACACTGTTGAAAAAGTGCTGAAAATAACATGATGATACTCTTTAAACAAATCATAAATAGAGACTTCTCTTATGAACGCACAGCATTCACAACTAAGTAAACTTCATGTTAAGCACATTAAGGAGAACATCACCCTTATTTGCAACCTACTCTGTCTTTGCAAAGTCTTCCAGAGGGAGTAAGATGGTTTTCTCAAATCTTGCATGGTGGAGTTGAGACTCCTGAGAGGGATCTATGCACGTTTAAAATATGAATGACTTCCAAATACATGTATTTAATATGTACAAAGACAAAACTAATAACTAACAGCATCTCTATATTTGTGTGCCTATTTTTTGTGCTGTGAATACAGTGCAAAGATGTTTCTGATGACACAGCATCAAACTTGGAGTTCTCATCTTTAAAGGCTATCCATGATTCAGTAGAGCTATTTTAGCACATTTTTTTTCCTTCCTAGCCACACTTGAGAACTGGGAGAGCAAACAGCAGCTACACAGGATTAAATGCAGTTTCTAGCAGTGTTAAACCCATGGCTAGAGGAACAAGGTGACATGTTTTGGACCCATGCCCATTGCGTTGTTCTGCTTTCCAAGAATACATGTGGACTCCAAAGGGCAGGAATGACCGTGTCCTGTGTGCTGGCAGAAACCCTGTCAGGGCCTCTGTAAATAGGTAGTTCTTTTTAAGTGCTTGTTAACATTCAGAGTTTATCTACAGTGTGCATGCACCCTGTATACTTGAGACTGGTGTCATTTGGATGTGGAGGGGGAAGTGTGTAGTACCCAAGGCAACTCTGATTATTGTGACTTTATATAGGGCAAGAGGAGTGTAAATAAAGCAAAGCTTTAAGAGGAGTGTAAATAAAGCAAAGTGAGCTGCTGGTTCATATGAACTTGTAGCTGTTACACCTCAGATACTCAGCTACAACCTTTTGTTATGCAAGTTTTCTCTTTGACAGCCAGAATCTACTCAAAATGCACTTGAAATTCCGATGCTTACCTTGATAAGTTTTTCATTGAATGCCCCTCTTTTCAAAACCTTCACTTGGCAGATTTGTTGTGGGTCATCTTATTAATTTGGTGCCTGAAAGGAGAAATTTGCTGCAGGACTCGTGGGCCAGTCTCAGTGTGGACTGCATACAGATTTGCCAGCAAAATGGGCCAACACAGCAAGTATTTGTTAGAGAACTGGATGTCTTTAAGGATTCATTCGTATAGGGGAAAATGAAGATATGTTACTTTAAGACCTTGTGTTTTGTTTAAGAGGCCCCTTGCTCCAATCTAATAGGTTCCTTCTTTTTGACTGTTTTTCCCACCTCTCATTGTATTGCAGTTGGATGTACCGTAAAGAAGAGGTGATTGACTTTCACAGAGGTATCTGGATGCAGCTGAGAGCTTAAGCACAGTATAGACAGTTGTGAGTGGCAGTACCTTCTTGTGACTGTAATCTCTTTTTTAGGACAGTGTCCACATTCCATGCCTTGGTGGTTGGTGGCTTTTGCCTCTATATTTTGGTATACGATGACGCCGTTAATGCTGACCGTCTCTGGTAAGGAGTGTTACATATATCTTGTGTTTATACAATGAAGTAACATAACTGAGTATGTTCATTACTGAAATAATTAAGATCCCATTAAAATATGCAGTAATTGTAACATTGGCCTTTTCTGTATGTAGTAATAGATGATAAAATGGTTGCCTGTTTTGGATTTTTTGTCACTGCATTCTGGTGTCTTTAGTGAGACAAAGTACAGTCTGGATATCTTATGAGATCTGTTAATCATGTTGGAAAGCAGCATGTTATTATGACATCTCTCGTGTGTCTCATGTGGTAAGGTTTATTAGATGGAAGCTTTTATTCTGCTTTCTTTGAGTAGAACTTGTTCTAAATAGTGCAAAGGAAGTCATGAAAGCCGAAATAAAAGCCTCTTAGTGATGATAAATAAGTTGAATCTTTGCATTTACTAAATCATCCTGGTGTATTTCCAGGAAAAAATCAAATTAATCAGAAATCAATCCCCTTTATTTCAATATTGCTTCTAAATAGTTTCTTCTGTTTGGATCTGTTTACAGTGATTGCTGTCAGTGGTGTTATTTACATTTGGTAGAGTAAGGAAAACTTTATATATTAAAATCCAGTGGAAGTGTATCAAATCTGTGTGTTTTAAATGAGAGCTTTGGGTTCATTTCATGGCAGTATTTCTGTACACTGTTGCCTGGTCAAAATTATCTTAGTGGTGTCAGGGTCTTGTCAACTGAAAGTGCACAGAACATACTCCAGATGTGGGAATCAGTGGTCTCAGTTATTAAGCTAGTAATTCTAAACTGTGTGAAGTATCAGTGTACTTAAAACAGTTGCAATGATTTGAATTCATGTTCGTGCAAGTGATTAAGTGTAAAGGAAGACCAAAGAGAATACTGCCCATGGCTTGACAAATACTTACATGCAGTCTGTGAGTGAAATACACCTTTGCATTAGGCTTTCTCCTACCAGTGAAGTCAGAATTTGCAGATGTGCATCTTCTTCTAAGGCTGACTTTTTATATTACTCTTAGTCTTGATTTTAATTGAATAAGACTGAAGAGGAAAACCACCAAGTTATATGGGAAGTGCCAGATGGCCTCTTGCAGGGCTGCTCAGTCTGGAAAACTAATGTCCTTTTGAAGTGCAAGCATAAGCTATAGGACTTAGTCATTTACAGATATGAAGGATGCATAAGGCTTTCTGTAGGAGTCTCTTATTAACAATACAAGACATTTTTGCATCTGGTTTTAGCAGTTTCTAAGTAAATGTCCAGGAATCCTTCATGCAGCTTTCTTGCACTGTTCTGGCTCAGGAAGCCTGAAAATATTACTCAGATGCTCTGATTTTAGACTACTGGGAAGGTTTTGATACAGACACTCTTTCTCTCTCACAGTTGCCACCATCCTTGTGTAGTCATTGACTGAACAGTATCCAGTCAGCTCATTTCTGTGGGATTTAAAGATACCTCTGTCTATAATGGCAAATCACAAGTTCTGAGCCTCTATGTATGTCAACCTAAATTCTGGCTTCGTGTGAAGCTTAAACGCATGATGCCTATGATACCTGTATGTCCTGAAAGGGATCAGGACTCCTGCTGAGCGTTTGGGCTCAGCGGAGACATGCGGTGTTACTGTCAGGTAATGCCTGAATCTAGGTCTGATAGATGCTAACAAAGGATAATAGAGACTGGAGCACTGATAAGTTGGAGGGAAGCATCAGCATAGTGTATGTGTATCTTTTTTGATGCTCTAGGACTTTGTAGAACACTTTGCTTTTTCTCTCTATGTAATACAGACTACCTAACAAAGATGACATAGAAATTCTTTTTGAGGTGGTGAGAATAACAGAGTAGAAAGTGAGTGATCTCTGTTAGAGATCAGATAGGGAAAAGGAGAATTTGTAAATAAGTGAGAGCTAATTGGAGCTTCACAGAACAGGTTTCTTCATACAGCTGTCCACTTGATAGTCATTACTCTTTGATTAGTGTTTTATATGACTCTATCTGCAAAGAAGTTTGAAGATAGTCATGTGGGCTTCTGTTTGTTCTATCTGCCTGTGCATGTTCATGTGTAGTTCATTTGCCACACATACCTCCTTAGCAATGACAAAAGAGAGAGCTCTTCCCTTTCACTTATTCAGATAACTCCCTGTTTGCCACTCCTGATTCTTGCTTGCTTCAAAACTAGGCTGCAAACACCAGGGCTTGTAAGCTCCATTGCACTTCCCATTCAAGGAAACAGGTTAGGAAATCTAGAAGATTGTAGGCTAAATTCTGAGTTTCCCATTAATTAACCTTAATCTGGAATTCTAACATGAACCCTTCTTGAAGGGATATGACAGACGGGCAGTGCAGCCTTGTATGTTGCTGAAGTGCTGGTTTAGAAAGTCCATAGAAGGTTTGTTGCAAGGTGACCATTCTCAAGGAAAGAACGGAGGGAAGTGAATGTCTCATCCAGTTAAGTCACATTTACCAATACCATGGAACAAGCATACATTCAATCCTTTGCATCTGTTCCAGAGAAGAATATGAAGGTTCTTCAGAGCAGGCTCAATCTTGGGGATGATTTACCGAAGTGTGTTGGGAGCACTTACAAGTTTGGGTGTGATGATAGAGCTCTAATGGGAGGGCTGTAACTTTCTCAAGAGCCTCAGCGTGTGAGAAAACATCTGTTTATGCTCTGTGTCTAGCTGTGACTTTCAGAAGACGTACACCAAAAGAAGCACTTGGCCTTCAACCTACATAGTCCACAAAACCAGGTTTTGAAGCCGTGGAAAAATGTCCCCGTTTCAAGTTGTAGTTAAGAGAGCTTCTATGGCTCCATTCTTAAGGGCTTGAGTGAGCTCCAGGCTCTCCTAGTCATGTTTTTTTTTTCTCATCTAATAGCAGAAATGAGGTTTTGCAAATCCTGTTTTCCTGTAAGCTTCCCTCTCCCTCAGGGAAGCAGTTAGTGTTAGATGCTGAGAAGGCCTTAAAATTTAGTGAACAGATTGTAGTAATACAGGAAATCTCTTCCACTGCTTCATTCCAATAGGATTAAAAAATAAAGGCTAAGTAATAGCGTTTTACTGCTTTCTAGCTGAGGGAGACTTTGTGTTGGAGGTGCTATAAGCAGAGTTGTGTTCCTTTTATCTCAAAAGGTTTCCAGCAGAACTTTCTTTCACAGCTTGTCTTGTGCAGTCAACGTTGGGTAAATCTCTAGAGCTGTCACTTGAAGCTCAATTCATACTTACACAAACAAGCTTACTTAGTTAAAAACATGTTATGATCTTTATGCTAAGGAGAAGAGATTTGCTTACCAAACTCAAAATGTGGCCATACAAAGGATGGTGGAGGAAAGGATAAGTGCTGTAATGTGGATGATTCCCTTTCTTGAGGTGTATTCACAAGTTTGGGTTTGTTGAACATCCTTGAGGACCTGAAGTTGTCTGTATGCTACTGAATGCCTGCTGAATGTTTGGCATCAGAAGGGAAGGGACAGAAGGTGTGAAACTGCTCTGGAAAGCATTTCTTCTCAAAGGTTCCTTGGTTTCAGAGAACTGGCAAATAATTCCTTTCATGTCTCCTCCTACTCTGTTTATCCCTGTAAGTATCCATCCTCTTATGAATACGAAAAGTACCAGCTGAGCAAGATATTTTTGTCATCCTTAACAAAGTTTTAACACTGGCAGAAGAACAAAAATGGAGATGCAGGGTTCTCTTTTATCCTCTTTTCAGAGAAGCCAGCTAAGGGTATGTGCTCTGTTCCAGTTCTAGACTCTAGCAAGGCTCTTGGGGCATTCTCTGCCCCAAGGCAGGGGGTATTCCTGGTGAAGGTAGTTAGTAGATGACTTATAGGTGGGTGAAAAAGGAATCCATGTACATAACTAGGACCTTTCTTAACCAAATCTTGAAACGTCTTGCTGATGGGCTAAGAATAAGGTGACCTAATAGACATTATGTGTTTGGTATGTGTATATCCTTTGCAAATTGCCTTGTTACAAAGGGTGTAACTATGTATTTTTGGTATGTTTGCAGGGGTGACCCTTCAATTGTGAAACTGAATATTGCTATTACCACAGGCTACCTCATTTCTGGTAATTATGCAATGTGTATATAACACACAGACCCTGCATATTTACATTGAGTCACTATGCCTATATATTTATACTGAGTCACTGTGCCAGGGATGTGACATGTGTATACAATGCAGTTTCTCCTGTGCCTTTTAGAATTCCTAATGGAGTTGTGGGTTGTGGTGGAATGACAGGATCTTGCCAGTGGATGTGGAAGATGAAATATCATCTCCCCAAGTACGGAGGAAGTGCCACTGTGTGGCTTCATGATGGTTTGCTACACAACCACCAACTCCAGCTCAGATTTGTCCTTCAGCCAGTTGAGAAGGTGTTAAAGCAGTGCCCTTCACTCCCTTGGGGCGGCTACAGCTTGTGGCTCTATTGTCATATGTTTCTTCCTATGAGCTCAGAATGCTGGCAGAAGGATTTTAATAGCCTTCAGTACAAGCTGAGGCGAATGATGCCATAGGATCCTGCCTGCCCACCTCTTAGTCTCCCTTTAAGCCAAAATTTAGTCATATACAATGGGGCAATTTTCATTATTTTCTTGAAATGGCATTTTATCCCATATATGTGTCCTTAATTATTTACTGTCAACTAAAACTGCTGTGGGAATTTTGCTGCAAATTGCTTGGGAGCTTTTTTATGGTGTGTGGAGATAATGCTGACTTATCATAGCAAGAACTTGGTGTGGCTTGGGCTATTTTCAGGGAAAGGTACTCAGGACAGAGTCTGGTCAGAGACTGGACTTCACTATCTCCCAGACTAGTTTTCTCACCCCACTGGAGATAGTCTGGTGATTGGCACCCTCTGTTAATCTGTGGGTTAGTTTAAGTCTCTGTTTTTTTCCATAAGAACTTCAGCTTTCATGTTTAAATTCATTGGTATCTATTTCTGAATAATTATGCATTAGAATTTCATGATGAATTAATGAATGCCTTTGAACAGAGACCTGAGCCTGGCCACTCATTCTCTCTCACTTCCTTGTGTAGTTAATGTTTAATTATTAATAGGAAGTGGAGCAGCCATGTTAGGTGATATATATAGTCCTGCCTGAAGGTAGCTAATACAAAAGAGATCAAGACTCTCATTGGACATACAAAAGGCACAAGAGTAAAGTCTTTGATTGGAAACCTTGGTCACTAATATTCCAGTTTAAAGTACTCATTTGGAGCGGGGCGGGGGGGGGGCAGAAATTGCTTATTCCAGTACAAAAATCTTCTGAAATCTTAGACCATCATGGGAGAAGAAAGAATGCTTCTGTCAAAGCATTAACTCGGGCCCACTGCATCACTGCTGCAATAAATGGAAAGTTCTGATTAAAGAAAGCAAACATGCTTCTCATTCCAAGTGTCCCTGGCAAAATATTTTTAGTAAATGGTTCACTGTTAGCTAATATAACTCCTTTTTGATTCACAAGTGCCCTGTAATAGATCCCTGCATGTATTTGTATATGGCTATGCCTGCTGTAGCCCCCATCCCCTCTGGTTTTGGTTGTTTTTTCACTTCTTCCAAATCTTTGGGTTCAGAAGTGTGAAGTCTTGCTCCAAGAGTCTGAATGCACTTTTTTCTTCCAAGATATTTCAGCCTCTGCACTTCTATTGAAGTGGAAAGTTGTAATTTATAGCAACTGTTGGAAGAAAACTGTTGCTTAATGCTTTGACTAAAGTTGAGCCTCAGAATAAAAGTTTTTCTCTTCTGAGATAGAGAGTTTCTACTGATAACCTCTGTTGGCCTTTACACCTCTAAAGCTATTGCGAGGTAAAAGGTAATATAATAAATTGTTCTTTATCATTATTTCTTTTCTCTTGTAGATTTGTTGCTTATTCTTTACTACTGGAAGGCAATTGGTGACAAGTATTTTGTAATACATCACTTGGCAGCTCTGTACGCTTACTATTTTGTACTGGTGAGTGCTGTATTTTTCCAGTCACATAACAAGCAGGTGGCATTGAAGACAGTTTAGAGATCTCATCTGCTTAATGTTTATGAAGTTCTTCATTGGTTGGTGCTTTAGCTTTGTGAAAGGTGTATTTCTGTTTACAGTCACTGTTACTTTCTAAATGGTTTTATCAGTCATTTGTGGTACATGTGTAATATTTCACTATTACAGTCCTTCAATGCAAATGTGTAACTTATTTGACAGCTGAGCTTAAAACTCCACTCGGTTTTTGCTGTAGAGGGACTTTTGACAGAGGGCCTTTTCAAATGGTTGTAGAAAAGGCTTTCAGACAAACCCCCAAGTATGAAGTTAGTTGAAGAATTGGAAGGAAATGATTCCGAGGGGTTATGTTCTGCTTGTGATTGTATTGCAAGGCCATTGGTCAGTGATCCATAATCCTGGTGCAGGATGTGCTACGATCAGCTGCATGGGCTTTTTTCTTTACGGTTAATTTGGTGGGGAAACAGTGGATGATTAACTGTGTCTATCTATAAATATCTGTCACATACGTACACTGAAGGGAAAAGGGGAAGAGAAGGATACTGTCCTAGGATAAAACCTCACTTCGTTATTCCCTGCTGCTGCTGGAAGTTCTCAAAGCTGCCCATGTGACTTCATAGAAGTCCCATTGACCTCTAGAATAATGCTCCTGAATTCCTTCTGTAAAGCTTATGCAGTAAAAAAGAAATCTTATAAAATGCATTTTACTTCATTTACCACATTTCTTTGCCTGCCTACTGTGTGAATCCCAGCCTTACAGTGCTGAAAGTGTTGAGGTACCAGATTACTGTCAGATTGCCCACATAATGGGGATGAAGTATACTGAGAAGTACATGCTCTGTTTCGGGCTGAAGATAATTGGATCTTCTAATGTTATCATGGATGAAAGTGAATTAGAACTGAAGATTAGAGAAATGAAAATACCAGTAGCAAGGCTAATCCCTGATGCAGGAAAATCATTAGTTGTTTCTGGACTAAACAAAGTCTACTTTGTGGGAGCTTCATTTAAATCAGTTCTTATTATTTGGCTGTAGCTCTGCCCTTGGATGTCTGTGTATTACTCTCATTCTCTTATCTTCAGAGAAAGTTACTCCTAAGTATCTTATTTAAAATACAGCTCTTAAAGATAGGAAAGAATTTGATGAAGAACAGAGGTCCTCTGTTTGGTGTAGTGTGAACTGACGTGAAATCACTGAAGTAGTGGGTACAAACGTGTTTGATGGGGAAAAGGGGAATCCTGACACGCACTACATAGATTGTTCATGAAGCCTATGAAAATGTTTTAAAAGTCTTTTTATCTCTACATCTGCTGCTGGCCTAGCCATTGTGTAATGGAACACAACCAAACGATAAGGCAGAGAATATGCTGTACTTTGTCACTTGGAGGAAAGTGCTCAGTTGCAACATGTATCAATGTGAATGTGCCACGCAGTCGTATGGATGCTGCCACGGAGGAGATGTGATCATCTTCCAACTCACAGGGCATGGCTGGGGCTGTGACACAACTGCTGGAAAGGGTTTCCCCTGCAGTATGTCAGAGGCAAGAAAAGGCTTTATGTGCCCTTTCTGCTGCCAAATAAGAGCTGGGAATTCATCTTCACTGGGTGAATTATGTTCCTAAACCAATGCAGGGACACCTTTCTTTAGCTTACAGTGTTTATTTTTGAACTTGTTTCAACATTGAGAAGCCCCAAATCTTCATAATTCTCTTAGTAATAGCATTATTATAATGCTAACCTAACTTGTGCCAATCTTGTGTTGCTACTTTCCATGGCCACTTAACTGTAAGCTTCTTAATTTAAACAGTACTGATTTGAGCTACCTGAAGGGACGATTGCAGCTTTGGAGGTAAACCTTACTTTGAAGCTGGGAGGAAGTAGCCTAGAGCTGGTGAACTTGTTTGCTATTGTTTTAATAAAGAAGTTGAGACGCTGTGTCAGTCTGTGTGTACTTGAAGGCTGTAATCAAGGTTTCACATCTCCGCTGTTGATGTTTCAATGTCTGCTTTGTTTTGCTAACCAGAGCAAAGGTCTGCTGGCTTACTTTGGAAACTTCCGTCTGCTCGCAGAGTTCTCCACTCCTTTTGTCAATCAGCGGTAAGTGCTCAGGGAATGTTTGCATCATTACTTTACGACTTAATTTGTATCATGATTTCTGTCACTTGGGAAGTCTTTTCTGTTGTCAAATGGGAATTTATATATATTGTATTTGTAAATATATACATTCATATATATAAACTAAGGATTACTATGTGGAAAACTTTTTTGCTGCTATAGCTGCAGCAATGCAACTAATGCATTCATCCGAGGTCCTTTTTAGAGTAGACCAATCTTCATATCTAATGCCATTTTAAAATGAAGCTACCGAACAGAAAACCTGACAAACATAATATTGTTCATTATCCCTTTTATGTTCATTTAATTATTCTAATAAAGCCATCATTTTCAATAGGGATTTTTTTAGTATTGTGGATTAGGAAAAGATAACACCATCAGAATCCTAGAATGGAATTGCATTGTCCTGCATAACTGGAAGTTTATTTTGCAGTGCTGCACGTGTATAGATCAGTATTAATATATGAATACATAGAATAATATAAGTGCATATTCTTTATTTGCTTTCAAAAATAGATCTGGATATTAATTTGAGGACTTAAACTAGAAAAATAATAAAGCACCTAAATATACCTGGTTAATCTTCATACTTGTGTTCAAAGAAGGAAGTGGCAGAAGGCATTTTGCAGAGCTCAATGAGTTGAAGCCTGCCATGGCTTCTGATCATAGTGTTGCTACTAGAATTGTTGCTGTGGGTATCAGAAAGGGAGCACAATAATGCCCTGTACCACAGGCAAAGGAAGCAGGGGAGTTTTGCAGTGCTCCGGGGAAGGTGACCTCTCTCCTGTGCCACAGCTGCTGTGATCCAGCTTGGTACAGGGATTTGCCCCAGGAAAACCTCACCTCAGGAGAGGGGCTTTGGTATAGGGCAGTGCTGTCCTCCTCTCCCATAACTTCTGTACGTGTGTGCCATCTGTTTTCTTTTCCAGGCATCTGGTAGAGAAAGGATAATGTAAGGCAAAGAGGGACTGTAGTCCTCCTGCAGACAGGGTATCTTGAGTATTACCCATCACTGCATTATGACTGTAAGCCCCAAAATATTTGATGAGGCTGCATCATTCCTTGGATTTCTAAGAATAAAAAAGATTATGCTGAGACCCCTTTCAAACATAAGCTTGGCAATTGAAGTTGCAGGAGGGAAAGGTGGGATAACGGAGGTCTCTAGAAGTTGCTTCCGTTTGCCCAAGCAGAGTGGAGTCAGAGATTAGAGTCTAATGTAGTCTGTGCTCCGTGTGCACAGAAGAATTGAGGAATAAGTAAACTTCTTTAAACTTGTTTTTAGTAATACAAGGAAGAGGAGAGTAAGAAGATGAAAAAGGGTGTGTTATATTCTAGGTTTCTATATTGACATTCATATCTGAGTGAATGGCTGTTGTCCCAGCTGACTTCCCCTGAGACAGAAGTACATCCTGGGTTGAAGTGGTACCTGTACTAATGCCTATCTTTCAGGCTGTGTTAGGAAGCACTGTGATATGTCTGGCTATTAAAAGTAATAGGCATTATACTTTTTTAATGCCTGGGAGGAGATCATGTGTCTTTGAATATGGGCTCTTACTGCTTTCTCAGAACACCAGAAATCACTGCGGGTGATAATAGTTTCTTGTGCTAAGGGACATAATCTCCTTAGTGCAGGAATGTTTTTTGGGGTTATTTTGGGTGGGGTTTTGTGTGAATATTTCAGGGTTTTTTTAATTAAATTTGAAGAGAACCAGACCCTCAAGGCAGAAAGTAGTGGATAATGATAATGGCTTCCATTATGTTTCATGTTTGCATTCTTAGGATTACCAGAAGAGCTATTATTAAAGTATAAAAAGATACTCTAATCTCAGAACTGTCTGTGTATTTCCTGTCTGTGTTGTTGGGGAGTTCTAATTGGAGGTTGTCTCCATGCCAAGCATTTAAATCTTGTAATGTTAGTATCAGCATCTATGTAATTAAGTATTAGCTGTTGTGGGTAAACTTGTAGTGATACACGTGATTTATTGACTTGTATTAGCTGAATTTGCTGGGAGAGGGAAGTTGCTAAGCAGATGTCCAGTCTTCTACACTGTCCCATTGCAGTGTATTTTAAACCCTGGTTTTATATTGCTTTTGGAATCTGCATTGTAGATATCAATGAAAGTACAAGCTCTAATTGTCAGTCTGACCAAAGATATCAGCTCTCTCTGCTTGTCATCCCAGTGAGTGTTTCTGTGGTGAGGTATCCTGCTTCTAGGCTGGGCTGCCACCTCGAGTACCTGGATTCTAACTGTTTCAGATTACTTCTGTTAGAGCTGGATGTCTGGCAATTCTCTTTAGTATATCTCTAATTACCTAACATATATTACCTAGTATATCTCTAATTAATGCTAAGCATTAATCTGTAGATAATTAAATTGAAAATTACTTTCAAAATCCATTTTAGAACTGGTATCGTGTTAAATAGTTTTACCCTCATATCTCCTTGGAAATAAACAGATTATTCCACTTTTCCTCCCCATCTCCCATCACGAGTACAGTGATTTAAGGAATTTTCTTCTGTTTCGATCTTTAACCTGCCACTGCTGCGCAGATTTTCCTTGTGTTTATTTTGGTGTAAGTGTTTCTCTTCCTAATAGAGTTCAACGCAGGGGTTCTGTGTGTGAAGCAGTACATAAATCATGCCTGTCTACTAATGAATTTATATGCAGTAATTACTTTTTTAAGACCATTTACAGTAGTAGTAGCAGGAGAGGGGCTTTTTAGTTTTATCTTTTCATAACATACCCGGCTGTGACATGGTTTAGTGCCATTTACACTGGTGGGGAGGAACAGAAGCAATCCCAACTCTGAGAAACTGGAAACTAGAGCACTGTCTAAATGACTGTATCCAAATACAATGCTAGAATTGCTTTCGGGGGAGGAAATTAGACTTCTAGTTGCCCGTTGGTGCAAAATGTAGTATCAAGTAATAAATCGGTATCATTTATCCTAAACTTCTCATACGAAATTTATCCTTTTGAATTAAAATTATAAAGCGTATTACACAACGGCACTGAAAGGATGCTGGTTGTCAACTGGTTTCCGGTTCCAGTTGGGATTTTATGTTATTCTGCAGTATACCGGTTATCACTTACCGCTTAAGTGGGCTTCAGCCAAGCGGAAGAATTTACAATTAAGCCAAGACAGTGTAAGAATTTAGAAATTATAAGGGTGGAAGCATTTAATAACTTATTGCTTAAAAAAAGTGAATAAAATCCTTCTTTAATGAGATGGCTTCAAGTCTGCCTCATCTCTGTGAATGCTGCTTTTGCAGGTGGTTCTTTGAAATACTGGGATATCCCAAATCTTCCAAGGCCAACATCATCAATGGCTTGCTGATGACAGTTGTGTTCTTCGTGGTGAGGATTGCCGTCATGCCTGTGTATTACAGCCATGTCATTTCCTCCTTTGGAACAGAGGCTTTCCACAGATTAGGATTTGCAGCCCAGAGCGCCTGGATTATCTCAAGTGTTGTCTTGGATATTATGAACGTGATGTGGATGGTCAAAATTGCAAAAGGATGCTACAGAGTCATCTGTCTTATCGGACGGGAGGAAGTCAAAACTCACAGAAATGGCAAATCTGACTAGAAGTCACACACATAAAATGCAATTCCTGCTGTGAAAGTAATCTGGGTTCACTGAAACAGTGCACATTTCTGCCATGGAATGATCCTCTTAAGAAAACAAGGTATTACCTCTGTACTGACCTTACTCTTTCCCTAACCACACTGCCTGCACACCCAGGGCCACGCTTTATGGATCCTGTCCGGTGAGGAATAAAAGCAAAAGCTCCCACAAATGAGTTCCATGTGTGTGTTCTAAGCAGTTACAGGCTGCTGAAGTTAGAAAGGAGCAGACTGGTGACTTGCTTGTTGTCCACCAGTGTGTTTGAAGTGTTTCACTCAGGTTTCTCAGATTAATGTGTTTTATAAACCCAATGAATATCAAGATCTCTCTCTCTTTTTTTAGGAAACAGAAACTTCCAAAACTCCTGATATGGTGCAATTTTCCTGGCACATTTCTATGTTTTCTTCTGGGAATAACAATCAAGATTTCAGTCTTGACAACTTTTTAAGTTTTGCAGAAAAACCTAAAACTGTAGCTTTGGTTCTGTGAAGTCTTTTACTGCTTTTTGTTCTGCCTTATATGAATGCAACCCATTTGGGGCAATGTATGAGATACAGTGATCTAAAATGCTGTATTATAAGACTAGAGAATAGCTGAAGAAGTGTTAATGCTCTGATTCTGATGGGAAGGGTTCGCTTTTGCTCTGTTACATTACATGCAATCCTAACTCTTCTAAATTGCCCATGGAATTGGTTTTGGCAGTCAATATGGTAAATGAGGTGTGGAAATGGCATCATTCTGACACATTTCTTCTTTGCTGCTGCTACTACCTTGGAGAAGTGTTGCAATTCTCCATAGAGTATTTGTAACCACTGGCTATTTGGAAGCAAAGTTTAATTATAAAGAGGTAAAATTCTTCTGTTGATGTGATGTGTAATTTGCAGCAGTCCTTGGATTCTGATCCACGATGACCCATTTGATCTGAAGTACTGAGGTTTTTGTCACATTTTCCTTGTTAATCATAGCCTGAGGTGTTGACTAAACGCGTTCTTGAGTTAACTGTGCCAGACTTGTGTAAAGCAGATCTGTCAGTAGGTACTCTGTTCCTTCTTCTGCAAGCTGAAAGGTTTGGAGGCTATGAAAGAGGAATCTTACCATCTGGGACTAGTCTTGAATCTATTTTCTAATACACTTTGAGGAAATTCTGGGGTTTGTTTGAGTTTTAAAGGGTTTTGAGAGCTGCACTGCTGTGTAGTTCGGTTTTGGTTTGCTTGCTTTTATATCATAGCTGAATTGGGACTGATTTAACTCCTGGTTTTTAACTTGCTGTGGTGCTTGGTTTGGTACTGTGTTTGTTGGGGTTTTTTACATGTTGCTTGTTACACCTTCTGGTAAGGTGTGCTGAAAGCCTGCATTTTCACTCGGTGCACAACCCAGTTACTTTAGCAGACTGCTTCAGCAATTCCTTTTCAAACAGAAAGGTAAAGCATTTACCCTGTGTAGGATCATTGGTTTTCCTCTTGTCCTGTTCCCTGTAACAAAGCTGGGTGATGTGAACTCTCCCCTCTGTAGTCAGAGGTGTGATTGCCCCAGTCCTGTGCTCTTAGTGTTTCCATCCTTCAGGAACTGGATGGCTGTAAGGCCCCAAGAGGACTATGTAGGCTGAAATGCCTTCTAACCGAGGCAGCTGTGGTAAGTGTGGTTCCCCAGTTAAATGATGCTAGAGAGTACTGTTTGGGCTAAATAATACACACTTTTATAAGCCTAGTTCCACTCTTTAACTGGGCAGGCTTTCTTCCAAAACCATTTCCAGTGTTAAGGGAGATATCAAGGGTTGTTACTACCCTTGGTTGTTTGGATTCTGGGCTTATGAATACTTCACAACCTGCATACAATAGAGCTGTTTATGCCTTGGAAAAGTTAGCAATTAATCTGTTCAGCCGGATGATCTGAGTGAGTGCTGAACGGGTTTGGGTACCAGTAAATCCATAGTCTGAGATTCTGTGACCTGCTGTGCTGAAAGAAAGACTCCATTCTACACTGATTTGCAGAACCTGGTATCTTTTAAACTAGTGACTTCAGTGTAGGAGATGCACAATCTGGGCTGCATATAAAGGCTCTGTGCTCCTGTCACCTTTAGGATTTAAAGGTGTACGTGAAATACTTCATTTTCTCATGCTTTTTAAGTCACTAGATGAGGGAATTGTTTTGTATTAGCTTGTTCCTTCTGCTTCCATTATTCAGGAAGCAGGATGAAAAACATGGGTAAGGTGATTTGGGGCAACTCTTAAGGTGGTAACTCATGAAAAAAATTAATTCATCCCTTCTTAGCATAATCTTTAATATTTCAGTATCTTTGTTTTCAGTGGAGAACATTCATTGAAATGCTCCATTTCCGTCACTTTTAGATACTTCTTTTCCCTTATAAGACACTAATGTAAATTAAGCTGTAATAAGATTATGTTAAAACCAGATTGAAAAAACCCAACCAACCCGAACCCCAATATAATACACTTTGGGCAACAATCCAGAATGGAAGGGCAAGGGATAACATGTTATAGAACATGTAGTATTTTGGATTGCTGGACAAAATTAGTGTAGTGAAAGCAGTATTTTGCAACTTGTTAGGTCTAAAGCTCCTACATTTGATTAAATTTCCTTTAAAATGTATTGCAGTTCTGTCCTGATGCATCTACTGTGTGTCAGGAGACAACTTCCTATTGAAGGAAGTTCTTAACACTTGTGTATTGGCAAGGAATGTAGTAAACAGGCTACAAAGTTGTGTACTGAATACATGAGTACAGAGCACTTTTTACCTGCTGTTCAAAGCTTATAATACAGCAAATTAGAGAGGTGCAGCACCCATTTTTTAATTGCACTTTATCAGTTTAAAAGCTGTGGTGAAATACTGCTGAAACTTAATGTTGCAAGTGTGCGTCTTTGCTTTTTTTAATGCAAGAAAGTAAATGCATGATAAGTAGCATCACAATAAATGCTACCTTTAGAATGTAATGTTATTAATGGCTTAAAACTTCTCTGTTTTAATAGCTGCATTGTCTACAAGCAGCTTGTGGTGTGTCACCAGGTGTCTTTGCGATGGACATATCAAAAGGAAGGAGTTCCTCCTGTAAAAGATGCTTGGATACCTTGGTTTTCTTTTCTTTTACACTCTTGGGTACCAGGTGACGTAAAATCAGCACGACGATCATGAGAGAGTCTGTACTGGTAAGGCTGCATGCAGGACTGCAAGTTCCCCTTTTTTATGGCTTTATTTTATCATCAAAAGCTGAGTAAATGCCACTTCCAGAATTACTACCGTGGAGTTGTAGGTCAAGTTTTGCTTTCATAATTGATTCGTGGATACTTGTAGAGAGGAAATGTACATCAAATACTAATTTCCTTGGCGAGTGTTCTAGTTGATGCCCATGAAGTTAAGGGCCTTACACTACAGGGGTTATCTGTGTGCATTCTTCAGTGGAAGAGTTCCATCTCTGGAGCCTATTCTACCTCTATAAATAAATGCTGTCTTGAGTGAGCTCAATAATTTAACAGCTTAATTGCCTAACAAATAGACTCTGACTAATGAAAGATATCCTATGCACAGGAAAATGAGGGGAGCTGATTTTATATAGGAATTCTTAACAGTTCCAAATTTTGTATTAAAGTTTATTACAAATGAAGTGAATTCCACTGCCTGGAAGATAATGGCTTCCAGCTTTACTTTGCATATCCTGGGAGAAGATTACTCAGGCTGCAGAACTAATGTTAAGTGAAGAGTAGAAGCTCACACCAGGGAGCAAATGGGTTCAGGCAGGTTTACAGAGGAGAAATGGAGGAGACTTTGTGAGCACAAATACAGAGATCCAGGTGTCTTCCTACTGCTGTGGTTGGCACAACAGCAGAAAGGTTTGGGTATTTCCATCTCTCTGCTCACAGTGGAAAATGAACCGTTGTCCTTTAATGTTTTCTGACTGTGTAAAATAGACCATGAGTTGCTGTACGAAGAGGGCTTTTCTTGTGGGTTTGTGTTGTTTTATGTACATAAGAGTTCCCTAAAAGATCATTTAATAGAGAAGTTTGTTAAAATGATGTTTTGTGTTGCTTCTGCTGAGCCATTCAGATGAAAATCAAGGGCTGCTTGACCATTACTCCAGCTTAGGACCTGGTGCTGTGTTGGCTGCTGGTGAAAGCCATCGATAAAGCAAATAGAAAGGGGCTAGAGTTGTCAGATGGAAAAGTGCAAGTGTAGAAGACCTTGAAAAGCACAAGCAGTCCTTTCAGTTTGTTAATAGCCTATTGTACAACATCATATCTGGCTACAAGGAACTTGATGAGGGAGGATTTGCTCCTGGTGGAGTTACTTTGTCTGTGGAATATATCTGACGGCTGGAAAAAGAACACTACTTCATTGCTGAGATCCTGACAGCAGGCAAATGGAATTAGCCATCAATATTTCTGAAAATCCAAACTTGGATAAAATCTCATTTTTTTTGGACAGGTGAAGGTCTTAGGATTTTTTGCAAGCAACCTGAAAGTTTTCTTTATGGTAGAGAAGATGGAAGATGTGCTGCTTGGGATGTTTATTGCTCTGGGATTAAGCATCAAATCATGCTTTGAGTTGATAACACTTCGTAAGGTTTGTTACCCATTACAAATCTCTACTAGCTACCTCCTTTGATGTTCTTGCTCTGTTTGTAGTAACCAAGCACTTTATGGCTCAGTAAAGAATGGAAGGTAGCTCTGAAGAATCAGTTGTGTCATTTGGTGTCAGAAGTATTTTGGCAAAATCTCTTCTGTGATCAGTTTCATTTGGTGATGTCCTGCAGTGAACGGGCATCTGATGATACCCAAGTATTTCCATTTTTAATCTAGTTGTAAGGGAAATGTCTCTAAGAGAGCGAACTATGAAGAGTTCAGCATGGCTTGGTATCAAACACATCATGATTCAGTGTGCTATTTGTGACTTCCTTCTTATTGAAACTGAAAATAGAAAAGCAAATAAGATATTCCAGAGTGTATCTTACTTTTTGATCTGTGTGTGGGATGTCAAACATTGTACTTGTCTTGTGGACAGGATGTGCTTGTATGAGCCTATAAATATGTAAGTATTTGAGAACCTGCACCCAAGTGGCACATGTTGCATGTGACTTGTCTTCTAAGTTTTAAAATGTTGGTGTTTTAATGACTTTGCTAGGTTTGATAGCACCATTTAAATATCAGCACTAATGTAATGCAGAACACAGCATTTTGAACGCAGTGCAGAATCGATGGGGTTGGTTTTTTGTAACCCTATTCACTGTCACAAGAGAAATCCAGCATATGTTGGGGGGAGAGGAGCAAAAGGGCTAACTGTGAGCTCGGCTGTATAATTTGCACACTTAATATGCACACATCCAAATATCCTGGATTTGTTTTGAGCATGCATATACCAAACAGTGTTTTCTTTAATACTGGCTATATATTTAGTATAATTTAACAGGTAAGCACAGCTAACATGATACAAACCCAACGTACAAAGAGCGAATGAGTTACAAGTTAGGCATGAGTAATTGAGCCTGCAAGTCAAAAGCATTTATTTAATCTTCTAAGAAGCAATTTGAGAGATACATCTAACTCGTATGCAGAGCAAGGATGAAAACTGTATGAATTCTGGTTAAGTCTGGACAATCTGGTTTGCAGTAAATACTAACACCGTCACAAAATCAGGGTCACATTATTATTGTCAGATAGGAATGTGGCCTGATTGTAGTAGCAGTCCTTACCACAGCACAAGAAGTTCAAAATGCAGTATAACACTTGTGCAGATTGGTGATACATCAGTCATAGTAAGGCAAATGGTTAAGTGTTATGGGTTTCAATTTCCTTTTAGTAACCCCCCGGAATTGTTTGCATTTCAGTGATACTGTAAAGCATTTCTCTCTTTTGTTTGAACACTTTAGGAGCTTGCCTCAAATGATACTGGCTTATGGTTTTTTTCCCTTTTGATATATGCAATAATGTCAATGAGCAATAAATTGCATGTTGTATGCAAGATATTGGTACTTCATAATAAAGGAAAGGAATACATCTTATTCTGTGAATTTGTCTGTCTTAATACATTGATGGCTTATGTACCTGTAATGAATGCATTGTGAGAGAACATCTTCCTTTGGGTTGAGTTCAGGAACAACTGGTTTATATGGTAACCTGAAATCTCATGCTCCATTCTTTCTGATTTAAAAGAAGATGGAGAGGGAACATGAGGCCTGAAGTCTTTTAAAGGCTGAAATGGACCAGCAATGTACCTTAAACTACAAGTTTTGTTGTGTTTTGAGGAAAACCTCTTATATTGGATAGTATAATTACATTGCACTGTATTGCAAAGCCACATGTTTCAGGACATAAACTGGACACTTGTCTGAAGGCTTTGGGGATAAAGAGCTACTGTTGCGGCACATTATAACGTGATGCACTACACAATCCCTTACTGAATTCTAAGATGGGTAATTCAGTTCCTTAATATGGCCGTTCCCAGATTCTGGATGTGCCATGGACGTACGCTTGGGAAGTGTGAATTGCGTGGTGAAACTCCTCTGAGCATCCTCAGATGAAACTGGTGCTGGTTTGTAACTTTAATTGGCTTCCAAGCACAGGAATTGCTCAAGTTTCTTGGAGTTTTCTTTTGTATTATGCAGTAGTTCAATCCCTAGAAGAAAACACAAAACGTTGCAGTGCTTTTTACTGTTTTCCTCTCATCTTTTAGGGACATTTAGTTCCATTTACAGGGTACTAATTTTACACTTTTAGCGTAGAAAACTACTCACTAACCACCCCCTCTATTTGGAAGTGACTGGGAATGTCTGGAAATGGTATCTGGGGGCAGATTTCTGACTGGTTGAGGAAGGACAGTGGATGCTCATGGGAGGCTTTTGTATTGGCACTGGGCAGCCTTCAACACTCAATAGTGGGAAGGAAGCCCTGAGCATGGCTGGGAACAAGGGATGCCTTTCACTGAGCCGTTCTTAACCCGGCAGCTCTTGCTTCAGGTGTGAGAGACGCCTCTCCCTCGATTGTAGGATACGGAAAGCATGTTGTATATCCAGTTCTGTGTAATGTTTGGTGCAAAGGTGCTCTTCATTTTCTCCCAAATTCAGCTTTTTTTTTTTTTGGTGTTCTTGCTGAAAACTTGTGGCTTCTGTACTTGTATTGCTGTGATGACTCTGCAGTTTTTCATTGTTTTTAATCTTCACTGTGCAGATCTCCTTTCTTTGGAGGTGGTGGACTGCTGGTCTGAGCATCTTATTTTGCTCTGCTTTATGCTCAGGAAAAGGTATTTGTTACTTGGCTTGGCCTACACAGGGCAAAAACTCTGATCTAGCCAGGGATTAATCAAGTCAATGGTTGGAACAAGCAGTGGTCACTTCTGATGGAGTGTGGTGGTGGAAAGCAGGGAGACAGCACCCGTACAGCTTTATACTTGTGCTCTTATCTCCTGTTCACCCTGAATGGCAATGTCCTTGTTGATGAGAAAGATCTGATTGTGAAAGGTGGGATGTGAATATGGGCTTCAAAGCACTCGAGGAATGTCCGAAAGCAGCTTTTTAATGGAGGTGGTTGTGTAACTTGAAATAGTGCTGGGTAGAGCTGCCTCAGTGGGGTTTAGAGTTCATCGCCATTAATCTTCATGGCCTTTCTCAGGGGAAATGGGAGAGAATCACTCTGGTTTTCCTTTACACCAGACTGGATACAGAGGCTGCAAGAGATGCCTCTCCCAGATTTAAACATGGGTTTTCTGCATCCCAAGTTCAGGTACTCACTGAAGCCTCAGCTCCTTCCTACTGTAATGTCATTTGTAATCCCTCCAGTGACACAGGATGGATCAGTTCTAATTGTTACATACCTATAACGAATGTCTGTGTTGTGCCTTCTGCACTTGACAGCTCCAGAGGCCGCGGCATGGGCTGACCCCTGCAGGGTCTGCACGCACTGTTACTGCAGAGCTGGCTCTTTACCCCATTAGTCGAGGTGGATGGATGGAGCATGCACTCCTCGCTCTGATGCAGATTGAGCTCCATCCTCTGCCTCGCCAAGCATTACACAGCATTTCACATGGTTAAACTGCACCTTCTGGCACTGAGGTGAGGCACTATTAGTGAATCCTGCAGCTGAGACGCTCCTCTTGCCTAGCCGATGTTTAAAGAACATTTTAAGCTTACAGGCATTAACTCCCCGTTACGAATTACTCGCATGTGGATAACGATTTCGCAGTCACACCCCAGCATGCCTGCCCTGCCACCGTAAGGACTGAAGGTGACCCTCGCTCCGGAACATTAGTTCTGACCCGGCGGCTCTGCTCCTGAGGGTGCCGGAACCAGACCCGCGCTGCGCTCCCTCCGCCGCCCGCACCGCACAGCGAGGTACCGACCGCTCCTACAGGCCTCCGGCGCCCCCGGCCTTACCGCAGCGGGGCCGCCCCGCTCCCGGCTCGGCTCGGCTCAGCCCCTCCCCGCAGGCGCAGGCGCGGAGCGGGCGCCCGGCTGTCGCGAGGGTGTCGTGCAGCGAGCGGGGCCGGCCAGGGGGGACCGGACCGCACCGGACCGGACCGGGGTGACCTGAGGTGAGGTGGAGCGGAGCGGCCTCCTGGGGAGGCGGGCGCTGAAGGAGGGCGCTGGGCAGGGCGCGCTGAGACAGGGGGCGGGCCTGACCTTGCCGGCGGCCGCCGGGTGGATCGGTGCGGCGGCCTCGGCCGCGGCCTTACCTGAGGCGCTTCCCGCGGGCGGGTGCGGTGCGTGCTAGCCCCTTGGGCCTGGCGGGGTTGGGGTTCAGGTGTGGGCAGGGCCGTGAGGGGAGGCCGCAGCCGTGGGTGTCCCCTGCAGGGGCCCGGTGCCGTTCGCTGTCAGCCCTGGTAGGCGGTGTGGGGCTTTATTAACGCTGGGTGTTCGTTACTGAAAGCGCTGTGTAATTGGTGATGCAGAGCCGCACCGGTGCAGTTTGTAACGTGGATGTGTTTTCTGTCCTTGAGAGAACCGGTCTGAGAAGACCCAGTGTGCAGAAGCCATGGGTTTGTCTGCATCCTCCCCGGCTGCGGTGGCTCAGGCACCAAGTGCATCCAAGCAACATCACACGGCATCGCTGCCTTCAGAATGTCCGATGCATCAGGAAAAGATGACTGGTAATTACTGTTGAGACTTAAGTAAACTCTTAGCGGGGAGCACTGTGCCCAGTGCTGCGCTCCTCCTTACGAGAGACAAGGAGCTACTGGAGAGGGTCCAGCAGAGCCAACAAGGATGCTCAGGGGTCTGGAGCATCTCTCTTGTGAGCAGGGATTGCAGGAGCTGGGACTGGTTAGCCTGGAGAAGAGCAGCCTGAGAGGGGATCTCATCAATGCAGATCAGTAGCTCAAAGGCGGGTGCCAGGAGGATGGTGCCAGACTCTTTCCAGTGGTGCCCAGCGACAGGGTGAGGAGCAAATGGCCAAAAACTAACACAGGGCAAGTTTCATCTCAACATGAGGAAGAGCTGCTTTACGTGAGGATGTCAGAGCCCTGGCACAGGCTGCCCAGGGGGTTGTGGAGTCTCCCTCTCTGGAGACATCCCAAACCCACTATGGACACATTCCTGTGTGCCCTGCACACAGTGTCCTGTGGCAGGGGTTGGACTGGGTGATCTCCAGAGGTGCTTGCTGTATAACCTCTGGGTTTCACAGCAACTGTCTCGTTTCACAGGGGTCCTGCAGTCTGTTCCCATCTAGCCACACACCCAGAAAGGGCCAGGGTTGTGCAGAGATGGTAACTGGCAGCAGGCAGTTGTCACTACCTGGGAAGGGGCAGCAGAAGGGTGCAGTGAGGTGGATGGAGAAGGAGCACATCAGCTCTTTCACTGGCACATTCAGCACTGCCGTGGAAATGTTAGCTACAAACAGTTCAGTATAGGGGCCACCATGGGGTGGGGATCGAGTATTCAAGGACTGCAGAAGAAGCCTAGATCTTACCATGGTGATAGGTCCTAAAACACAGGAAAGAACAGTTTAAACTGTTGCAAAGCTCATAAGAAAAGTGAAATACCGATTTGCATTAACATGAGCGTTCAATGAACTGTTTTCCACTTCCTTGTCATGTCTTAGTTTCCTTTGTAGCAAAATACATCCTGTTTTTTCCTGTATTTCAGGGTGTCCAATGCACATGAAGACTCCTGATCATAGAACTGAGAACGCAGATGTTCCTGCACATCAAGAAAGAGCATATGAATATGTAGCATGTCCAGTGACTGGTGCATCTCAGATGAACAATGACATAGATCCTAGCAATATGGTAACTTCTGATTGCTTCAACTCTTTTCTTTGTCTTGTTTGTTCTGAAATACCCTCCCCAAAATGTTAATGGTGATACTGTCCAAGGTAAATAATGTTACTTTTTAAACACTGCTTTTTTCTCATTTTGTATGCAAATACTTCAATCAGACCACGTTAGACCTTCTTTAACATCCTCTTCTTCAAATTAACATCTTTTTCCAGTTTGTGAATACCTTTTGCTGTCTGTTTTCTATCTGCTAGTTATATGCATGGTTGTTGTGCTGCATCAGTGAGTTCTGTGTGCTAGCAGTATGGGTAAGCTCTCGTTCAGGTCTCTCCAAGATTTTCTGTGATTTATAGAAAGCACTACTCTTTTGGAACTTGAAGGGTTCCTTTAGGTTTTCAGGTGATGAACTCATCCAAAGAGTTCTCCTGCAGAAGAGAAAGGTAATTCTGGTAGACTTAAATAAAGGCTGAACTTAATCTTTTTAGCAGCTGATGAATTGTGCTTTTAATTCTGTTTTTTCTTTTCAAACACCGTAACATAAGAACATGTTCATACTGAAGGTTGTTGTTGATTCTCTTTGTTTTCTAGATGCCTCCTCCTAATCAGCAGCCATCCCCAGGTCAACCCTTTCCATTGTCAACTGTTAGAGAAGAATCTTCCATTCCTAGAGCACATTCTGACAAGAAATGGGTCTACCCTTCAGAGCAAATGTTCTGGAATGCTATGCTAAGAAAAGGGTAAATACACTCTGAGTTACCAGATGGAATGTGAGAGTCTGAAATTCATGAAGGAATATCATTAGTTATTATTAATCAGTATTATTGAAGAGTTTGTGAACTCTTAAATGACTGTTTTTATACACAGCTTTATTTTAAAGGGTGAGCTGGTCTCAAAGGCCACGGGTCCTCCAGTGAGCAGCAAGATGATGGAGCATTCCAGGCAACTGCCACAACTCAGTGCACAGGTGTAGAGAATCTGTGTGATTGCCAGCTTTCAGACTCAGTTGGCTTCATGCTAATCCTTTGAACCCACAGTAAAGATTGTGAGAACATCTAATCTGACTTTGCAGAGATGCTAAAAGTGTGGAAATGGTTTGACAAGTAGAGGTTTTCAGTCAGTAAACAAACCTCAGTGTAGGCAAGATCTGAATGATAAATGTCTCCTGTGGTTTGGAAAGCCTTCTGTGCTGCTGTTTTCTTACTCTTTTGTAATTGTTTGTCATTCTCAAACAGATCAACTTTAAAGATGGTTATGGTTAAAACAGTAGTAATTTGTTCTGCGTATCGGTGGTGTTCTTAAGACAATATAGCAGTCTGTATGGAACACCCAAGTTTCAATTCTGTAAACACTTAAATGTCTTTAGTGTTACGCCTGTTGAAAAGCAAATGCGCCTGTAGTTAATAGTGCAGGGTTGGAGAGATGAAAGGCATTTCTAAGTGTATGCAAAATGTATTGATACAGGATTTGTGTGCATTAGGAATGCAAGTGGGATTTTTCCAACTCATTTTTACAAATACCATGGATGTGCTGATGTTTGCACACTCTGATAAGTTTCTGATCCCGTTAAGATGTTAATTTATCTCCCTAGAATCTGTGGATCTTGATGGGGGTAACTTTGATAGTGATTCTCAAGATGCTTAAGCAGATGAGCCAGAAGTTCCCCTACTTGCTTTGTGTCTTTGCATAAAACCTTAAACCTCTTGATTCAAAAGCCCTCTAGATAAAGGGAGGAAGGTGGAGTAGTTACACTGTAATGTTTGTAAGCTGTTCTCAAATGCTTCTCTCTCAGATGGAGGTGGAAAGATGATGACATAACAGGTGAAGACATGACCAACATTATTAAGATTCACAACCAAAATAATGAGCAAGCCTGGAAGGAGATTCTGAAATGGGAAGCTCTCCATGCTATGTATGTACATAGGGGATGAAAAGCAAATCCTTTGGTTTAGCTCTTGGTCTTGTAAGTTTTGGAGAATAGACTTTATGTTATCAAAAAGGTATGAGATGTAAATTTTGATTAAAAGTTTGTAAACCAGTCACTTTTTAGGTCAGGACAGGCCTTCTTCCTAGAAGAGACAGACTAGTTAAGCATTCCGTATGTAGAAATTGTTCTCTGGAATTCCATGATCTGTGTTACACTGGTTTGGATTGTGGTTTTCTGTTCTTTCATCTACTGAATCTGTGGATTAGATTTGTTGAGAAGTGCTCTGTAGGTAAATCAGAATGATGGTGTGGAGCATGTTAAAGGTTCTGTATCATACCAGCAGTAAGTGCTGTCAGAAATTGGGGAGCTTTTCCAATGTTAAGATGGTGGTTTAGATCACTTGTAATTAATTTTTTACTGTTGCTTTTTCTCCTATATGGTTTTTCTGTTACTAAACCAAACTGCCGTAGTGGTTTAAACACTTTCTTTATGAACTGTCTACACAGGGAATGTCCATGTGGACCATCACTGGTGCGGTTTGGAGGCAAAGCAAAGGAGTATTCACCAAGAGCCAGAATACGTTCATGGATGGGGTACGTGGGCAGGAGGCAGGTCTTCTGTTGAGGTGGGAGTGCTGGGAGATGTGTCTGAAAACATGGTGTAGAATTAAGCTGTTTCAGAACTGGAATTGCAAGTTCTAATTACCAGAAGTACTAGTGGGGATCTTATGCCAGTATCTGGATAAGTAAAACTTCTCAAACAGGATTTCCACTCCATCTCCCTGCTTCATAATATCCATTAATATATCTGCATGGTCCATTCTCTGTCTTTCCAGATACGAACTTCCCTTCGACAGGCATGATTGGATTGTTGACCGATGTGGAAAGGAAGTGCGATACGTTATTGATTACTATGATGGTGGAGCAGTAGACAAGAACTACCAGTTCACTATCCTGGATGTTCGCCCTGCCTTTGACTCCCTCTCAGCTGTATGGGACAGAATGAAGGTAGCTTGGTGGCGGTGGACTTCCTAACTACTCCTGTGGTGTGTAATCAAAATGTGAACCACTCTCCTAGAGTAAGGATGAGTGAATATTAGGACTTGATATAGGAGTTCAATGCAACTGTTGATGTTTTTGTCATCACCACTGTTCTTTGGGTGGTGGGAAGGGAGGGTGGGGAAATGCGTTGTTTTGAAAGAATAAAGTGATAGTAGCAAAAACTTGTATCTTAATTTTCTTAAGAGCTGGGGAAGGTATTCTTACTTTGTCACAGGTGCTCAGAAAGCTTGCCTTCATTTCCTGACTCCAGTGCTGCACCACATCCATTAACTACCTGAGCCTGACTGGAGTTCTGAGTATTACATAGTGAAAACTGGAAATGTCAAAACCAATTTAACATAGTTCAGTACTTGGATACTGACATGATGAATAAAGGGACTGTTCCAAACTGCATGTTTTATTACCTGTATAAAACCATTTATTTGTTTCACATGGGCACTTTACCTATTCAAATATGTGCTTCCTCAGAAAACTTTAGTCCAGTTTATTGTGTTAAAAGAAGTATAGTAGGAGTATTTTTGAAGGTATGCTAAATTGATAAGGAGGGTATACTCATGCCTTAATCTGCAATCTGTCTTTGAACAAGAGAACATTTGTTAGAAGCAGAAAGTGTCAGTTATTCTAAAAGGAGATAAAATTAATATTTAATGGCTATTTATTCTGAGTATTTAAAAGATTTGGTTTCTGATGTAAGAAAAGAGTATTCTTAATATTTTCATGTCTTTAATGTGTGTCTCATGTAATAAGTTCAGGGCAGAATTAAGCCTTATTTAAATAACCTGTTGTGTGATGCATCTTTATTTTGCATCTTGCCTTCATCAACTGAACCATAGTGTGGGGTTTTTCTATACTACAGAATTGCACAAAGGTGTATGACTACACAGTCCTATATATTTCTGCATAGTGGTTGCAGTGAGGGATTTTACAGATGTGTGCATAACTTGGCTAAAAGGGTATTGAGAAAGCCAAGGAATAAGGTTGATTTGAGGGTTTCCTAAGAGTGATCCGTGTTAATGCTGTGTGGCTTAAAGATTTGATTAATGTTCATGCTTAATAAGGGAAACTTAACTTTTTATAAGACTTCCACTGTAATAGCTTTAAATTTGCATGGCTTGCTAAATTTCAGGTGCCACATGCCGCTAAATTTAAATGATTCCTTCCTTTCAGCATAGATTGCTCCTGAGAATGAGTCTTCCACACAAAACACTTGGGAATGGAAGATGGAAGAGAGTTTCACATTGTAGCTTCTCAAATGGGAGAAGCTACGTGAAACTTCCCAACCTTAACAGGGAACCAGCTGTACTTTCATATTTGGAAAGTGGCTATTTTTAACTGAGGGGAAAGCTCCTCAATGTTCCAGTCAAGTAACTTGCCGTTTAGGAAAAAATTGTGCAGGAAAGCTTCTGTAGTTTAAGGGTACTGGTTGAGATGAATGGTTCCCACTTCAGAACCAGCTGTCCTGCATGGTAGGAATAAATACTACCCAGAAGTCCAAATCTTAAGAGAAAAACACACTTTTACCCTTATCCACTCCTTAATTGTTTTTCAGTGATTCATACATACATACATATATATATGTATATATAAAAATGAGAAATAGTTTTGGGGAAATAAAAATCATCTGAGTAAGCAATGCATGCATGAGATTTGAGAAGTGTGTGAGCTTGGATGAAGTGTATCTGATAGTGAAAGAGCTGCTTCTCTCTCTTGTAACAGTGAAGACTGAGGCTCGTTCTTTTTGAGGTGCGTTGTTTTTGTTGTAGGATTATGCATCAGTAACTTGGCACACACAGAACTGTGTATTTCTCACAACTAAAGAGGGAAAAAGCACACCAGTGGAGGGAGTGCTTCAGGAGCTTCCAGAGAATGAGTTTGGATGATCTGGGAAGTGTGATGCTGAAATTGTGATAGCTGCTAACTCTGGTGAAAGGTGTCTCATGCCACATGCCTGGATTGAAAACGGCTCTTTTCTGTGCTGCTCTTAATGAAATGTACCACTTGGAGTCTCCTTTTTGTTTGATGACAAATAAATATACTTTTCTTAACTTTGGTATTTGGTGACTGTATTTTTATCTGTAAGAATCATTGAGATGAGCTCTTGCATGTGTCATACGAGACTGTATTCTGTTAGAACTAATCATATCCTTATATATACTACTCATCTATTTAGGTCAATACAGAAGAGCCAAGGACTAAATTCATGTGCAGCAGCACTCAACAGAAGAGCATATGACAGCAAATATATTCATCCTGATTCTGGGTAGCTTCTGAAGAGAGGAATGCAAGGAATTACAAGGTTTTTTAACAGTCCTTGAAGTAGAAATTAATGTAATATCTACAAGCAGTAAGACTGAAGGAAGCAAACATGGAGTTTTCCCTTTTTGTTTTGAGTTACTTTATGCCTGATGTTGGCAGTTCACTGTTTCTTAGAAGATGGGTGTTGGAGTGATCAGAATTCTAATGTCAACTTGAAAAACTGATATAAGTTGATGTGGTTTTACCCTTTGGGGGATGTTTGAGCAGTAAAACTATTGTCTAGGCTACATTCAAGTTAATGTAACTTATATCCTTTCTTTGTAAGTATGGACAGGTGTGGGGAGTTCATGAAGCTCAAACAAGTGAAGATATATCCTTATCAGGCCCTTTCAGGGAATTTTGCAGCAGCAGCAGGTTCCCAGTCAGGCTGAAACAGAAATTTAGAACCCAGGATCTCAAACCAGGTTAACCTTGTGCATGTTCAAAAGGGAAAATATGGTCACTGTCACTAAATCAGTTGTGCATTTACACAGTTCACCTAAGCTCTGCTATAATGTGCCAAAGCCCCACTTGACCTATTGTGTTTGACTCTTGCAGTTGAAACAAGTTATTGCTCTCCAGGCCTGCAGCTGAAGATGTGTCCTTCAAGGATATTTTGGTGCTCAGGAACTGCAAATCTGTTGCTGATTGATGGAGAAGGACTCCTGCATTAACACTCCAACCATAATCAGGTCTTGGGTCATACATACATAGACAAGAGTAGTACTGATCTTTACTCCCTGGAGCAGGAGGCACCTCTGCATTCAAATACCTGGGTTTGACCTCTTGCTGTTGCATTGCTGCACGCAGATAGTGACTACCCTGCAGTTAGGGTGATGCCAGTCTAGAGAGGCACCCAACACAGCATGGCTGTGCTCACAACACCCTCCCTACTCAGTAACATTGACCCAACTCTGCTCTTCCACAGTATGCCTCTGGCCAACACAAGTGCCTTGTAACTACAGAGTAGTTCACAGGTTTGTCATGCTGGAATGCCTGGAGTTCCTGCTTATGTTTAGTCATCCTATGATATTTTCCCCTTGCATTGCACTAGCAGGCAGTTTGAAAAGGGGGGCTCTTCTGTCTCTATCTATCTATCTATCTATCTATCTATCTACCTATCTATCTATCTAATCTCCCTCTCCCCTAGAAACAGCTTTACTCCTTCCTTTCATACTATGCCAGTAGTGCTAGCTTCAATCTTGGCTAACTTTTCAGTTAAGCTCTACAGTTTCTGCCTTGCTTTGCTACAGAAGAAACTGTCTTGCTGAGAAGAAGGTATTTGTGCCCCTTGTTGATTATTACTGTTTTTTACTGCCAAAGCAAAGTGTTCTAGACTAACGTTTTTGGATTCTGGTGTGAAAGAGGGATGCTAGTTTAGTGTGAAATGGGGTAATAATGCAGTCTGGTGCTTACATAATGTATTCATTATAAGGACTTTAATGTGTTCTGTAAATAATTAGTTAAAGTCTAAAATATGATGATGAATATTGTTCTGCTTCCAAAAGGTGTGAGAGTGGTAAAGGATCTCTGGGTGCTCTGAAAACCACCATGAATAGTCTGTCATCTTACGCACTCCCATTTTGTTTGTTCACTCTAGTGTCAAAAGTGTGGGGAATAATACCTAATGTGCCCAGGTTCAAAAGATGGAGGTGCAGATCCTAAGGTTACTGACGCTCAGCAGCTAAACTTGCAGGAACTGGAAAACTAAGGAGCACTGCTCTTCCTAGTGCTGTGTTTCTTCCTAGAGGGCAGAAATGCCCCTGTCAGAAACACCATTCCTTTACTTTTTTAAAGAGTCCCCAACATTTACTAAGTTAAATTACACTTTAATTCTTTGTCTCTCTTTGCTTACACCTGGAGGCAAATCCATGTAGTGATGTTCCACAAGCAGATGTACTTGATGTGGAAGCTGAACTTACTGTGAGGGTAGAATATACTGTTCGTAAGCTGTGCTTATGTGTTCAGTATCATACCTTTCCCTACCCACAAGTATCTTTACCTATGCCCTCTTTAAAAATCGATAGCATTGTTAGTTTTCTACAAAGTTTTAGTAGGCAACTTCATGTATTTTTACTCTTGCTGAAAAAAGAAGTGTGTTCTGTTTGTTATTCTGTCTTACTTTGTACAAGGTAAATTGTAGGCAAAGCTCTACATGCAGTGAATCAAGTAAGTATTGACTCTTTTGGCAGTGTTAGTAATAACAGGTACATATGGGCATACCAGCTATGTCCATTTTGTAAGAAGGATCATTTTTCGTTTGCATTAGATGGTTAATGACTTCTATCTGCATCTCCTTCAAGAAAAACAAATGGCTTGCCAAACTCTTAGAGAAAGAATCTTAAATTCTTTTATGAATGTGACAGATGCATCGATTTGGACTTACTACTTGTACATTGAATTCTATAGAAGCTTGTGGGCAGAGTACTAGCCTTGACTCCAAACCTAAACGTGTGGCCTTGAGCGTGTGTGAAAAGATGCATTATTTACATGGAATCATAGAATGGTTTGGGTTGGAAAGGATCTTAAGATCATCCAGTTCCAACCCTGGCCATGGGCAGGGACACCTCATGCTAGAGCAGGTTGCTCCAAGCCCCTGTGTCCAACGTGGCCTTGAACACTGCCAGGGATGGGGCAGCCACAGCTTCTCTGGGCACCCTGTGCCAGCATCTCAGCACCCTCACAGGGAAGAACTTCTGCCTTAGATCTAACCTGAACTTCCCATTTCAGTGTGAACCCATCACCCCTTGTCACTGCAGTCCCTGATGGAGAGTCCCTCTCCAGCATCCTTGTAGCCCCCTTCCGACACTGGAAGCTGCTCTGAGGTCTCCTCTCTTCCCCAGGCTGAACAGCCCCAATGTTCTCAGCCTGTCTCCATATGGGAGGTGCTTACGAGTGAACCACTCATCCCAAACGACTCACAAGACGCGGCTGCATATTTGCAGCTTGGGTACATGTTTTTATGACTGGAGTCTGAGCGAACCCAATTTTCAAAGGATAATGGAAATTCATTGGAAGTATTGGGATTATTAGGCCTCATTAAAAAAGAAAAATAATTAAAAGAACAGTTGCCTTTGCTGATGCTTAGTTTGAACCATGGCCTCTCTTATGAAATAGAAAACATCACATTTGTTTTCAACATATGATGACCAAAAAAAACAAGTGATGTTTTTTGTTTTCTGATGTTTTGCCAGTTTTGAGGTAACTGTAGAAAGTTTTAGCTGTTTTTATACCATGCTGCTGCTCTTGCCTCCAGCTTCTGAAGCCTGTGACCCCATAAACCTCCTGTCTATAGAGACAGCTAATGCTTTAATTGATCATTAGCAGACTTTCAAAATGAGTTTCCATCTGCCAAAAGATTAAATGTCTTGGGGAACTGACTTAGAGCAGTTTTATGCTTGGAGGATAAATGCAAGTGCCTTTAAAAAGCATTGCTACAGCACAAATCCTTGAAAAGCCTGCTTCTAAAATACTTAAAAGGAAAAGCAATAGAAAAGATTTTTCCTCCAATTTGTATTTTTTCCCTCAAATTAGAGAAGGGTTTTTTACGTAAAAAACATATATTTTTATGTATATATTCTATCAATAGAGATTTTTTTTTTGTGAATTCGTTAGCTTGCTTTCAAGAACCAAAGAGCAGAACTTCATGCAAATGGTGAATTTAACCTCAGAACAAGCCATACAAACATTGGCAGCTTTTAATTTGCAGCATCATTTCTTTGCTAAATGTATTTATTCCAACTTTAAAAAAAACATGCTTTGGGGCAAAAGAAAAAGATGCTGCAAACTTTTTTACTACCTGTGCTTGAGAATACTGAGGAGAATCATCTCTGTTTTACCGCAATCTCTCACAATTACAGGGGTTGCTTCTCCTCCTGTTGCCTTTAAACTTTTGCCCTTTAGCTTATTTGGAGTGATTTTTAGAGGTTTTCTCTTTGCCATTTTAGGTACAAGCCACTTTTGGGAAAACTTCTGCTATTGCGGCAACACTCGAGAGCTGTTATTGCAGAAATAATAGCTTCTTTCTTTGGTATCTGAAAAAAATCAGTGCTGTTTAGCTCTGTTTAAAACAGGTTTAGGTGGCAAGAATACCCTTCTGGTTGCATTAGAGCTGTCAGCGTTGTTGGAGCAGAAAACACAGGACCTGCAATAGTGCCAAAAGGAGGATGTGACTTGTGTTGCAGAGGTGAGGTTATGGGTTCCTTATTAGTCTTTGTCTTGTGACCCCAAAATGGGCAACTGCAGTGGTTTTTAGACTCTTCCTAGTTCTTTAACGCCTTCTAGAGTAATGGTTGCTGAGATGGGAGAGTGGCTGGCATGGAAATGATGGTTAAAAAATGTAGATAGACGTTCCAAATTTACATTTTGTCCCCAAAATGTCTGCCTCCTCTTATTTACCACTCAGAAAAACAGGTACAAACAGATAGTTTTCTATAAAATCATCAGTGGTTGTCGGCACAGCACCTAATTGATTTGGGCCATAGCTATAGTGAGTGGAAAGCAAAGGATACTACTTTTGCAAATAACACTGGGAAGATGAATCTTATCTGTGATGAAAGGTTGCTTTCTGTTTGTCTTATCAGGCAAAGTGGAAAATGGTGGTATCAGTGGTGTATTGATTTATGACGGGACGCTGGAGCTGCTTTAATACAGGCTGACTCTAAAAAGCATGATGTTCTTCTTAACTTGTATTTGCCACGTTGATAGGAAAGCATCCTTTTAGAGCACTGAATACGGCTGATGTTATTCTATCAAACACTGCAATGTTTGAAGAAGCCATAGGAAAAAGAAAGAGGGGGAGAATAAGATCTTGAACTCCAATTTAATAATGGTGGAATATGAAGGCCAGGCTGTAACTGTAGAAGTTCATTTCCAATTTAAATATTTAGCATTTTCAGCAGTCTGCGAATACAAGGAAATTTATTACATTAAGATGGAATTTAGATCTTTGACATGAAGCTGATATTTTCCTAGCATGAAAAATATCAGGCTGACATTATACTGTCTCCTTTGATGACTTCCAAATGTCAGAGTGCAGTAACTTATTCATGGGGACCTCAATGTCTTGTGATAGTGTCAATTTAAAAGACATTTACATCGACTTCTTTTATTTAAACGTGTAAAATGGAATATGCAAAGTGGGTGGGGTGGGGGTGGAAGACCAAGGCCAAGGAAGTTCTTAATAATAGAATGAGGCACTTTTAAAGCTAATTTCCAGCAGAGCCTCCTCTGACAGTCGGCAGCATGGACTCCTACCTGGCAGCACTGCTGGTAGCTCCCGTCTTCTTCCCCTCTGTTACGTCCTTCATTCCCCAGCTCAGCACTTCGATGTTTCTTGTTATTTGAACAGAATTTAGGGGACTAAAACTAGCACGATGTACTGTCTAATAAAGGTAAACCACCCTCCCTACCTTTTAAAAGCTATCTGTAATACGGAGATGTCGACTATTGCTTTGGAGGTGATTGTACCTGAGTTGAGGACACCTGTCAGCCAACAGAACTATGGAGCCACAACAGTTGACTATAACCAACGTAAACCTATGTTTTGGTAAAGCTGTATGTACGCGCGTTGACTTCCACACGCCGAGGACGGGCGGGTTATTCCCCTCGGTGTGTTAGAGCAGCCATGAGGAGCCGTACACCCGGAGCGGGGAGCGCGGCGCCGCCTTACACGGCCGCCATGTTTCTGTTCGGCGCTGAGGGAAAGAGCCTCTCCCCGCCGCCGCCTCTGCTGCTGCCCGTTGCCGCTCGGTGCCCCGGAGGCTGCCGGAGCCGAGCGGCAAAGTGCGACGAGGCCGCCGCAGGTCTGGAAGGGCCCGGCTGCCAGCTGCAGCGTCCCCGAGGCCCGGCCCGGCAGGAGGCTCCGCCCCGCCGCCATGTCGGAGCTGGCGCTGGAGGAGCTCTCGGCTCTCGCCGCCATCTACTGCGAGCCGGACGCCTGCGAGGTGCTGGCGGTCTCAGGTGAAGGCGGCCGCGGGTCGTCCTGCTTGGCCGGGTCTCAGCCGGGGGTGATCCGCCCGCTGCCCCACACCGGCCCCGAGGGGAAGCGGCTCACGGGGAGCTGCCCAGCGGGGCAGCGCCGGCATAGGCGCCTGCTGTTAATGGCAGCGCCAAGGATGGGTCCCTTCCCTCCCGTCCCTGCGTCCTCACTCTTTGTAGGGGACAAATCCCATTGGATCCTGCTCGTTTGTAATTAGCGAGCTTCTTAATCGCAGCTGTTTGCGGTGCACGCTGGAACTTGGAGTAGGTGAAGGGCAGCGGTGGGAATGGGCTGGAGCCTATTGAGGTGAATCATAGAATGGTTTAAATTGGAAAGGACCTTAAAAATCATCCGGTTCCAACCCCCCTGCCATGGTCAGAGAACAAGCATCTCCTGCATGTAACAAGAGTGGGTATTTATCCTGTAGTGTATCGTAGGGGTGCAGCTGCTGCAGTGTGTGAGAAGCTTTGGGTGATCTCTACCTTTCTGGGGGTAAGGTGGTAATCTGTCTCTTACCATGTACCAGATTCTTCAGCTTCAGCGGTGTGGTATGGCTATGGGTTTACAGGGTACTGAGGCTCATCCGTCATGTTTGCTGAGGTTGGGAGCCTGAGGTGTGCAGTGTTTGCTCCCATCCGCTGCTGCCTGCTGGTTACATAGGGTGAAGGAGATGACTTTCAACAGTGCTGCAAAGATGGTCCTCCATCGAGGGACAGTAAATCTCAATAGTTCCAACAGCAGTTACTGTCAGCCTTAAGGAAGCATCAGGTGGGATATGTGAGTGTTGTGGGTCTGTTCAGATAAAGAGCATAAGTAGATGGGAACTCTCATCTATATTTGTTGTAGATACACACAGATAATGTGCATGTGCTATTGCAGAGAACATGCTATGACCATATATTTTCTGTGATAGATGTGATTCTCTGTGATACTGCATTAACATTTAGCTTATGGTTATATACCATATAGCCATAAACTAACACACAACAGGTGTCACCTCAACATGAGGAAGAGCTGCTTTACATGAGGGTGTCAGGGCCCTGGCACAGGCTGCCCAGGGGGTTGTGGAGTCTGCCGCTCTGGAGCCATCCCAAACCCACCTGGACATGTTTCTGTGTGCCCTGCTCTGGGTGGCCCTGCTTGAGCAGGGGGGTTGGACTAGATGATCTCCAGAGATCCCTGCCAACCTCAACCATTCTGTGATGCTGTAAAAGTCACTGTGGTATAAAATAACGTGGCTGCTTTTGACTCACTTGAACAAAAAAATCACTAGGACATTAACTGAATAAACCTCAAACTTGTGTTTAAAAACAGTTGAACTAGATTTGCACAGAACAAAGTGGTGATTTGAAAAGAGGGCTTTGTGCACAGACAGCCTGAGAGGGATGAAGGCATGAGTGTCTGCATGGAGCACAAGTAACTGGCATAATCTAAAAGCAGGATTGCTTTGTGTCTAGCTTTCCATGACACACCTCTTGCTCCAGTGTCGGCTTGTAATTCTGCCATTTTAGTTGGAGATTGGGGTTATTTTAGAGTTGTATTTTTAAAACCCAACTGATGAAATGTTTCAAGGGAGTTTTATTTTCTTAAAAGTCAAGAAGTTCAGGGCTGTTATTTCAGGCGTCATTTGAAAATACAACATCCAGGCCTAACAGACGTTTTACTTTAAAACGTGAACATATCTGAGCATTGCATATGCACGTCTGTTCCTCTAAAGCTGTTACAGAAGTATGTGTGCATCCTTCTCTCTGCTTCATATGCAGGAAAATGGGCTTGTGCTTAAGTTACTGGGATGTAAAAGGCTTAGAAACCTTCCTGGAACGTAAAAGGAAGTGCCACAAGGGCACAGCAGGAACAGGCTGTTGTATTTATATTGATAGTATGTGACCTTGCAAGGCCTTTAGCCAGGCTGTGCTCATGATATGTTAGGATCATGTATATTTGGTTGTTTTCCATTGTTTTCTGCTGGAATAGCAAAGATTATTTACAAGAATGATTATGGGTAGTTTTCTTACTTCGGGAATTTACTTCTTGTTTGCATTGGAGCTGCATGATCCTTTAGTTTGTATACTGCTAACTCACCTTTGCTTTATGTCTTCAAACCATACAAATTGTCATTGACAAACAGTACACAGAAGCAACTTCCAGTAAGACTGTTACATTATGCTGTCTCTAATACATTAAGAGTAATTTGTGTGTAGACCCACAGCATCAAAAAGGAGGCTGTTGGGGACTTACAGGTTTGAGGAATGTAGGAAAATGCTTTTGTGTGTCTCTTGGTAAGCTAAAAACTTTGGTTTTCTGAAATTGAATAATTAAAGTATTCAGAATGTAAAATGTGTTTTTATCAAAAACAGTGTGTTGCTGCATTTAAATAAACTAATTACAGCATATCTTCTTTACCTTCCATATCTATTTACAAAGATCAGTGTTACAGATGGAAATCCATAATGTACTTGTTAATCTGTTCTCTTCTGCTTTGCTCACCAAGCTTCCTATAAAAATATATATTCGAAGCGTGTACGTTAGAAGGTGCCATTTTCTGAATGTAAAAATAGACTGCATGTGTTGCATAAAATGCCTTTGGGCAGGAGAGGAGGGGGATATCTGTCTGCTTGACATGGAACATAAGAAAAAATCTCAAGGATGCTAGAGCTAAATATACTAATAAGCATGCAGCCATGGGGAAAATGAGTTAAAATTCATGGAGTTCAGTCTTACTAGCACATTAAATGCCAGCAGAATGGTCATACCCAAGCTTTTACTTCAGAAATCATCACCCTTTCGCTGGGAAGACAACTCAAACCTGGTAGCTTGTGCAAACAAAGGAGGTACTGCTCCAGAGCCTCATTATGCGGGGTGCTCTGCTCTTTGTTCTGCCAGGCGCCTGCAGTGCTGGTGCAGAAAATGGGATGGACGCTGGGGTGGTGACATAAACTTTAGATACTGTGGTGACATAAGCTTTAGGTGCTGTAGCCCCACAGACGTTTCAAACCAATTCTCCTTGTCAGAAGTAAGTCCGAAGCAGATGTAAATGAGCATGGCTCAGGGTGATACACACGCCTTGGGATTCAAGGCCGCGCTGCTTCCTTCGGGTTAGTTCATCATCACAGGGAGAGAAAGGTGTGAGATTGTTGCAGGCTTAAAGATAAGATCGCTGCAACAGGAGGCCCTTGCCAAAGGGGCAAGGCTGGCCTGTCTGTTTATCCCTTAGTTACTTCAGAGTTGGTGTGATCTGGTACGACAAACTAGTGAAAAAACCCGAGGAGGATTATCAGATTATCAGGTGTTTTTCTGTCACTGTAATTAAGCTGGCAGTAGTGTTCTTCAGCTCATTTATAGGCTGTGCAGTTTTACAATTCTTGGCAACATGGTTTAAAATGAAGTGATTCACAGGCAGGGATATAATCATATTGTTCAGCCAAAGGCAGCTTGGCTGTGTACGTGGTGTGGCTGCCCTATGCAAGGGGCAGCTCAAGGGGGTGGGTAACAGGCACTCTGTGTGTTTAGAGACCCTCCATGGTGGTCAGGAGGGTGCTGGGGGTCCCAGAAGGTGCAGTGCAGGCTTTTCTTCTTGCGTGTGAGGTTATGTGTACCGAGCCTACCCTAGTGACAGAGGAACTGCACTATTACAGAGCATTGCTGCTGCCCACTAAGAAACGTTTGTCAGGGCAGCAGAAGACACAGACTGGAACAGGAAGGCTTAAGGTCCTCGTGCATAGTTACTCCCAGGGGAGCAAGGGCTGCTTGCTGCCAGATGCTGTGGAAACTGGAGTCTCTTCTAAGGCAGGTGCATTTTTGGGGAATAAACATGCCTTAAAAATAATCTGGAACCTTTCATAGCATCTTAGAAGGCTGGAAACCACCTCCTGATGGCAGCGAATGAGGCTTTGATGTGTAGTGCCTGTAGGTATGGGTATGGTTGGGTGTAATTTAATTTAGTTCACTGGGTTTGACTCTGTTTAGGTAGCAATGGTTTGCAGGTGTTTGCTTCATGGTAACATTAGAGTTTGGTTATTGGGTTTTGAGGGTTTGCTTATTTCATTTGGTGACTGCGCTGACCTAGAAAAAGTTCTTCCTAGGACCCTGGAAGGCGGTTTGGAAACAGGCCCTTGGTTAAGCTCTCTAAAGTGCTTCTGTCTGTTCAAGTCACTTTTAGCTTCTTTCACTTATTTAGTGGGGTTCAAATAGAAAATCAGCGAGAGCACCGAGGTTGGTTAGCAGCATCAGCAATACTAAAACATAATTCAAATGACTGTCATGTAAAGGAAGGTAAGATAAGGTAGAGGGAGAAGAAGGCAACTCACTTCAAAAGAGCTCCTCTGAAACTCAGCTCTACTCTAATCTGCCTTTCAGATCTGGCTTCTCCTGCCCTCATAGAATGAATCAACCAGACATTTTAGCTGTTTCTTTAAAGGAAAGGGGTGAAGCAGAGAACATCTGAAGAAGATCCTCTTTTATCTGATACCCTGTTTCTTCATGTCAGAGGACCAAAAGTAGGTTAGATCTTTGTGCCCACTTTTCACTTGATGAGGTTTTGTATTGTTTTTCTATGAATCGTGTTTTAGTCAAGAAGGTTTTATGGCAGGAATTACCATACATAACTTTCATATTCAGCATCTTTGATATATGATTTATCAGGAGGATGCCTTCTGCCCTTCCTGCTATATACTGTATGTATCTCTTTCACTCTGAAAATAATTCTAGTCTAAAGTAGACCAACAACAGGTTTTGAGTAGATACATGGGTGTATACACATATGTGTATGTAAGTATGTGCATATATATGCATGTATGTAGCATCTCAGATCAGATGTACAACAGAGATGTTATTATGTCAGTTCAACTGTTGCACATGTAGAGAAGTTGGCAGAACAGAATTAAGTGGATTTTATCCACATTTTATTATATATTAGGCAACAAAGAATCTTCATTTTTTTATATTCCAAGTCTCTCTTTAGTGTGGAACTGCTTCTGAGCAGTTGTCTTAAAAAATACCCAGTACAAGTCTATATGCTTTGCACTCATACTGGTGTTAGAAGTTTTACAGATTTTTCTAGGAGCAAAGTTAGGGCAGTGCTGAGTCCATCCAGAAGAGTCTCTATTTTCAGTTGTCCTCACTGCTGCTGTTGAGCTGTAGAAGCTGACTTACGTGTTTCTGAGAGAAGCAGTTCTTTATTACTGGTTTGTCTAGACTTTGAAAGAGCCAAAAGGTGTGAATGCTTTTCAGAATGTGTTAATAACTTTCCTTCTAGTATGATATGGAAGTGTTTCATTTCAGGATTTCCTGCAAGTCTAGCTTGAGCCATTGGCAGCAACCTCCCACCCTGCAAAATAACCCCCACACCCCTTATTTTATATAGACTGGCAGTCACTTGAGTTGAACTGTTAAAGAAAATGCCATGGATTAATAATACATATGTATTTCAACTAAAAGCAGTCTGTTCATGTTGATTTTTCTTATTCTTTCTAGAGACGCATGGAATCACATTTCAGATTCAAATCAGTGTGAAAGAACTACTGGATACAGATGTACTCTTAAAGCTGTTATTTCATTTACCAGTCAGTTATCCATCGACTCTACCAGATATTTCTGTTAGCTCAGCCCAGCTTACAAGGGCCCAATGTATGGATGTGAAAGAGAAATTACTTGAACAAGCAAAGAAGCATCTTTCTGAACCCATGGTACATGATCTGATTCTTTGGATACAGCAGCATCTTAAATATGTCATTAAGCAATCAGCAACAGTTTGCCATGAAAAAACTACTTTGTCAAAAGAGAAGAGTACAGAGGACGGTATCTGGATGCTCCTTTTGCATTTAGATCACATGAGAGCCAAGGCAAAATACGTCAGAACTGTGGAAAAATGGGCTTTGGATCTAAGGCTGACTGGAAGACTGATGTTCATGGGCAAGATAATATTGATTCTTCTTCAGGGTGACAGGAGCAACATTAAGGTGCAGGAACAATGAATGTTGACTAGTTCTATTGATTTACCACCGAAACCTATGCATCTGAATATTTTGTGTGTGTTTTTCTAAGATTAACAATTTGGAAGCAAATTGATCATTAGGAGAATAGGAGGGCACAGCAACTTCATTCTGTATTTAAGGAAAAAAAGGTATTCTGTGAGAAAGAAACCAGTGATACCTGTAGACCTGTGACCTGTATTGCTTTGCTTCCCACTGTAGTTAGGCCTCTATATTCCCTGCGTATCCTGATTGTAATATGCCTAGGTTCAGTCTCCTGAATTTCCCAAATGCCTCAGAAAACAAAAAATTTGTGATTAGAAACAAATAGCAGATATATTTCTAGCTCATTACTGTTTCTTTTCTTGCCCTAGACCACATGGTGCTCCTGGTGCACACCTGGGCTTTGAACTTCTGTCTGTATTTAAGAACTCCCACTGCATTAGGCTGCTTTTTGTGGTGGTATTAAAGGAGAATGTTTAGTCTTTTCAAACTCATGTTCTCTACATCACTGAAGACTGTATGTAACTTCAAGCTGATGACTAGGAATTGTCATGCACTTTATGGGATGGGCACTTTGAAAATTTGGTTGCTATGTGCTGAAAAAAACCCTGTATGTTTTGTGTAGATTTTTGCATTTTACTCAACCTCAGAGTTACTAAGGTGACATTTATATTTTACTCTTTTTTTTTTTTTTCACTTAGGAGTACTTGATTCTTCAGAAAACTTCTAAGGTAGATGTGGACTCAAGCGGAAAGAAGTGCAAAGAGAAAATGATTAGTGTACTGTGTGAGACAAAATTACAGGCACAGCAGAAAAGGTATAATGTAGTAGTGTTGTGGATAGAAAAGTAACCGAGTTGAGAATTACATTCTGACAAATCTGGGCATCTTCATGAGTTACCGTTTTACAATTTCAGGTTTCAGACGTTTGAAGTCAAAGAATATTCAACACTGGATGAGCTGCGAAAGGAATTTGAGAACTCAGGACTTACAACTCTTTTCTTGGAGTTTGTGCCTCCTCTCTTGAAATAGAATTAAAAGAAAGCACTGGACCGTTGAGCAAACCAGTAGTAAACTGCAGGTGCTGATGGAAGATAAAATGTCTAATTTGGCAAACAACATTAAAGCTTTTCTGCAAAAGATGCCGGAAGTAGCCATCCTCTTGCAAGGAGAATTCATACATTAAGAACAGATAATTTCTTGACCTTTATGTACTGATAACTTATTCCAAGGAATGTGAAATTAATTGTGATAACTGCATGGTTAAGTGTGAGAGAATGGGGAAGAAATCATGTTAAAATAATAGTCTTTTAGTTAGAATCAGTTTGCAAGCCCTGTTTTTCAGTGTTTTGAGTTTTGTCTCACGGTGGTGGTTTTTCATAATGGCCTGCTGGAAAGCATGATTAGTTTTGCTTTGAAAACTTACATGAGGATATTTCTATAAAAAGAGAATCAAACACAGATTTTAATATGAGGACAACATATTCTTAATATCGCTTAGGAGTTCATGGGCTAACTTTCCCTTCTCCATTTATTTGATTATAAATGCTAGACGGTTGATGTAAAGGAAAAACTCATGTCACTTGTGGCCTGAAAACACTTCAAGTGTCATTTTGAATGTTAGTTCTTGTTCTAAAATGCACAAAAACACCTAAGTGGAGAATTGAAATTGATTAAAAACCTAAGGTAAAGGCAATTGTAGTATTTTCTTTGATAGTTGACAGATTCCTTTTTGCGCTTGATCTGGTTTTACTGTCTGTGCATCTGCAGATAACTTGATGGAATTAAAATGTCAGAGCAGTCTATATACAGACTTCAGTCTTGTGCCTCTCAAGACTTCTGTCAAGTTTCTGTCATTTGAGAAGCTGGTAAGTTCTATAGCCTCTTACAATTTCCTCACCTTTAGCTTTTGTACAAATTAAGTCATGCAAGATCAAGTTTGCCATGGGAAAATTGGATACTTACTTCTAATTAATGTCCTTTGGTTTCTGTTTTACCTGATACCATTCTCTAGCAAGGCTAGATAAATTGTCCAGTAGTAGGCACTTTGTCAGTAACTAGCAATGCCATTTCAGTTTGTTTTAGCATGTAGCTGAACGTGTGCTTTACTGCTCTCTAAAACTCACTCCTAAAAACCAAATATCTCATGTATTCTTTGTTAACTGATCAATACAGTGTAAACCAGTTTCTCTCTGCTGTACAGGGGGAAGACTGGTACAATTTGGTTAGTTCCTCTAGTGTGGTCTGGCAAATCATTAGGTAAGACACTGTGATTTCCAGTTTCATGCTCAGCCCATGCAGTCATATCTCTGTATGTACACTAGAAAAGCAGCTAAAGCGACCTATAAGAATTTGTAGGTTTTACTATTTGTGATACCAAATGCAAAATGAGTTGTAGGCTGTTTGAGGGTTTCTTAGTTTTTGAGGAGTTTGGTAATTTTCCTTATACAGAGTGTCTCAGATACTTACGTTGCACGTTATTTTTTGCACCGAGGTGTATTTAATGAGAGAGTAGCAAAAGGTCTTCTTAATGAGGCTTTTATGTGTAGCACATAGAGTACTTCAGGCACAGTAGAAACCAGACTGGGTTAAACAGGTTTTACAAATCTGTTCTATTTTGAGATGACTTCTGGAGACAAAGTGGAATTTCTATCACTTTAAATGAATGTGCAGATGAAATTTCACTTTTCTAAAGAAGAATAAAACTGAAGTATATTTCAAATATTAATATGTATTTTAAATTATAGTTTTCAGAATTGAGCTGTTCTCAGTTAAAATATCTGTGCTGAAAAACCGTGTGTCAGTGGAGTATAAGCCTTGAGAAGATGCAGAGGTGCTCTCCTTACTGTGTGTGATAGATCTGAAATGTACAGTGTAAGAAAGCATCGTCGGTGTCTCTCTGCAAATCATAATCATAAGGTTTTGCCAGATGGATTTTTTTTTTCCTCAGCCAGATCTTTACTTTAAAATGCTCCACTCTTCTGGAAAGAGAATAGCTAGGTACTTCAGAACAAATCCTCTATCACAATCTTAGCCATTAAAGTCCAGCTGGGGCCTTATCCAGCATGCATATCAATCAATTGCATATGCTTGCTGCTTATATGGGGTGAATAGCATACCTAACCATGTGATCCCAAACTGCATGTGACTGCAGAAATAGCTGAGGCACACAGTTGTTACGGTTACCTTTCTAGCAAGATCAGATGGAGATTGTCCAAACTGTTCCTTCCTACTGTCCAAGCTATTGCAATACTACATAAGAAAAGGTGTTTGTAGGGTCAGTGGTTGCCAGTTCCACTTTGATATAAGGTCATGTATTTTCTTGAATATTGTTGCCTGATGGCTTCTTGGTGAATTGTTTGGTCAGAGCCAGCGTTCTGCAACAGCCAAGTGAAAAAAGCAAATTACAATTAGGTAAGTTGTAGTTTCTTCTGTCTGCGCTCATCTTCTTACCAGATGAAGTTGTTCTAAGAAGCTGGATAATTTCTGTGTTTCAGGAGTTGTAAAAAGCAGTTTATACAATGGACTTTTGTCATAGTTGAATGTGCTACTCACTAACATACATTGGACAAATCAAGTCCAGTGTAGGAAAGGACTGGAGGTTTTTTGCTTTGCTTTGATTTGCTGCAGGAGTATTACAACTCTGATCAGCTTGATACAGTTCAGACAGCAGAGAACGTGAAAACTGATGACAGTCTGATTCTGTCAGAGCAAATGCTTTTGCCTACCTATCCATCAGTCACTTAGTTTGAAGGGTAGGGGGAAATCTTGTGTTCAGACAAGTTAACAAATACATTTAGAGATTGTTCTTTTGGAATGATGTTGCAGCTGTCTGTTCATTGAGAGTTTGTTTGCATTTTTTGTAAGAAGAGATGGGCAAGCTTCTGAGCCCGTGGGGCACAAAAGTCATCAAGATGCATGCTGTGGTGCATGTTCCTGCCCTCCAAGGGAACTGAAGCAGACGCAGGGGAACAATACCTATGGAAACAAAGTCCTGAGAATCCTTTAAAGAATGCCTATCGGTGTCTAAAAAGTTAGTGAAGTGTATACAGCTGTTGGAATCAGACAACTCAATTGCAAGGAAAAAGCAACCCATGAAGACAAAGAAGTGGTTTAGCACATAAAAAGCTAGCTTTCTTGTGGATATTGTATTACAAATAGTTCCTGTAACAGCATAGTTAGTAAAGCCTTGCTTCCTGTGGACTTTCTTGCCGAAGACACACGCATGATGGTGCTCTCCCAGGTGAGTTCATATTGATTGTGTTCTCTGCAGAAATCATTACAGTCTCAGTAGCATTTTTCTTCACTGCTACCTGTTTTCATCAAAGCTGTAGGTACTTGTTTTTTTTTCGGGCTGTTAACCTCTCAGTTCAATTGAAAGGAGTTAAAAAGTTGAAGAATTGTGTAGTGTAAGTGTAGTTTCCTTTGAAAATCAGGCAGAAATGAAAGCAGTTGCAATAGGACTGACAACTTGAAGAACCAAGGTTTTAGGACAAAACTGAGGTTTGCTTGGTCTTTTTCAATCCCTTGGCTTATTAAGTGTGAAGAAAACCCTAAACCCAACATCATCCCTATTTGCCCAGTTTTTTTTTGCACAAATGCATCACAACCAAAGCATCCATTCTGACCCTGGAGAGACGTGCTGCTTTTGTGGGAGGTTGTGCTAAACAGCAGTTGAATGAATGCCTTGGGTGAGCATCTGCGAGTCTCTAGAAGAGGTAGCCCTGGCTGTGTCGGGCAGGTTTGTTGGAGAACTGTTCACTTTTTCTCCTCCTTTCTTATGATCATGAGTGGTTCAAGTATGTCTGTATTTTTTCCATAGTGTGAGAATAAGGATGCTCTGGTCATCTCTGGTCATCTGAGGAGCATGTCTGTCATTACCCTTTATGTGGCAAGTGTAAACTGGAGTGACTGAAAGGACAACATGAAGTTCAGGTAATTTTTACTATTACGTGTAACATCAGGTCTTGGAGCTACTACACCAGGAGAGTGATGTCTGTGGAAACAAGGACATTGGAGTGCTAACAGATTAAATTACTCGATTCTGCAAGAAATCAAAATTTCTACTTATTATTGCTTTTATTATCATCTCTTGGGAAGAAATTTTTATGAGCAGCCCATACAGTGAAGTAGCCTACCACTCAGGAGAATGGCATAACAGTTGGACTTGATCTTCAGGGTTTTTTCCAACCTAGCTGATTCTGTGATAACTTCAGTGGAAGTAATGCAAAGTTCCAGAGGAGGGGAACACTTTTAATGGGGGGTGTCATCACTGTTGGGAATTCACCAACTTCTTTTACTTACTCAGTCTCATTAAGATTATAATTCTTGCACCCTGCCCCTAACCCCCCTCAATATTTGTTAGTTGCTATTACAGGGAGGATGAGACACTGAAAGAACTCATAGATGAAAATCCTTGATACAATCAATTAAAAAAATGGAGAGTAGATTGGATTGTTTTGTGAATAAGGCTGATTTTGGGGGTTTGTAGTTCTATCTCACTTTCCTATAAGATGATTATTTGCTGCTTATTTATAGTTTAATAAGTTTAATGGATGATTTAAAACCAAGTGTCCCTGGATCTGTTCAGCTTTATCTATGAAAATACGAACCTAATCATGTTATAGTTCATTCGAAATCAGATGATGAAATGGTGCATTCACTGTATTTCTGCCAGAGTTTGAGACTAAAATTGCTTATATTATGAAATAGTGCCATTTCTGGAATCAACTTTCATATCTTTTATGGTAATATTAAGCATTATCATGCTGTCTCTTTGTGTGGAACACATGCAACACTGGCAGCACTCTGTTCTGGTTTTCTATTTTAAATGTATGCTTAATTTTATGTTATGCAAGAGTTATTGTTTATCTGCTTAATTATAGACATAAATGGAACTTGAAAAGTAAATGTGCTAATAGCATTTTGCAGTTACTGTTCTGTGCTATTTTCATATATTGGCTTTTATATTAGTTTGTGTTTTCTAACCTCCAAGCATTAACCTGCAGTGAAGAGAACTCTTCAGTGACAGAAAAATTTACGTAAAAGACATTAATTTAAGGGATTCTTTAGACTCTAAAAATTAATCCATTAATATTTTTCAGTCAATTATGCATTCAGGTGCTTTAATTTTATGCTAATCAGGTAAGAATAATTGCTCTTTTGATTTTCTTTGTGCTTATTAATATAATACAAATAATCTGTTTGTATCCTGCATTAGAACATAGCTGATCATGGAAATGGGGTCACTATTTTATTAGTATTTCCCATTATAACTACCTATGACTCATGATATGTATGCATTGTTACCTACTGCAACGTGAATTCAAAGTGTCACTTTAGGATGAAGCTTGATACAAAAGATCTCTGCATGAGAACAACTCTAGTTTGGGCTGCTTCTCCTACTGGCACCTTTTACATTCCTGCAAATGAGATAAGGAGACTGATTTCTATAGGAAGTAGTCAACTGATCCCAGTTCTTTTGAGCTGAACTTAACAGGCCAACTCACTGTGTTACATACACTAGATCTTGATACCTGCTGGTTGGTGGTGGAGTACTCTCCAGGCCTTTTGCTTTTGGCAACATCTAATTACTCTTAGCAATTAGTTGGCTAATTCTTGATGTAGAGAATTGAGGGAGCTAATCTCACCTACGCAGAAAGCATTTGACTGCTGCTTGATGGAGCTTTACATCAGGAGAGATGCCTGGGACTCATTTGGTGTTAGTGCCAGGGGCTGGTAGCCTAAAGTTTACCCTTGTTCTAGTCACAGAGCAAAATTAGGGTCATTTTTATGCCTGAAGGTG